AAACAGAATTTAATCTACTTGTTTTGGTGAAAAAATAAATAAGACAAGATAATAAACAGAACAGTAAACAAAACAGAGCAGTCTTGGTGATAACATCCACACACCAGCTCCACAGATAAAGACTGTTAAACAGTGCAATGACAAACATAATAAAATGTATCTTTTCTTTTATTTCTTTCTGCTCAGTGAGGCTGATACAACTAGTGATTATTTAGTGTTCAGTTCCTCTTATCTTGATTTGACCAGAGCAGAGCTGAGGTTATCTTCCACAGTCTGTCTGTGGGGGTGTGTGTTTCATTATCTTAAGAACTGGAATTTTGCTATCTTTATTTTGAATTTTAGATACTTGGACTAAAAGATCAGCTTTCAACTGTCAGAGTAAGCTGTATTAGGGTATTGAAACAGCAGTCTTCCCTTTTCAGCAAGTGTGTGATCTTTTTTTTTTTTTTGCGATTTACAGCAACTGCAGAAACTCCACATTACTGATAGATAATGAAATCTAACAGTTCATTGCAGTTCTTTGACATAGAGTTAAGGGAGTTTCAGCTCGGCTATGGCAGTTAATGTTTATTTCCTGAAATCCATCTGCTTGGCAGTTCTCATGAAAGCTTCAAAACTCTGATGTATTTCATCGATTGTATCCGTTTCTCTTGTCAATGCAAAAAAAGAAAAGAAAAAAGAGGGATAACCTCGAACATCTGCTTAGTCAGCTTTCATGCAGATTAATTACCCCTAAGGGTGAGGGAGGAAATGATGCAGGAGAGAATTGGGAAGAACAGATAGAACACAAATCTGGAACACAAGGACAAACTCATAGGTGGTAATTGTACCTACCTGTACAAATAAGTTACCATAGACAAAGTAAAGAGCTTGGTAGCTTATTTTGCATGTGTTAGGAAAAATGTGATACAATGCAACACCTCCAGTTCTCATCTTTAACAGAAACATTATAGAATATGTAGCACAGCTATGCATCTGCTGGTTTATTAAATGTTATAATTGGTTAATAAAAATAGAGATGAGTAGTTGAGGGTTTGGTACCCACTCTGGAACAATCGAGAATGCGATGGAAACATTTCCCAGGTCTGGAAGAGTGCAAGAAAATAAAGTGAAGCAGAAAATCAAGCTATTTATCATACATCCATCCCAGTTCTGTGTATAAGACTGATATAGACGGTGGTGGACATCACTGTTGAATGTCTATCTTTTAAAATGCAAAACTACTGAGAAACTTGGTTTCTGTCTGTATTTTGTTAAGTCAGCTAAATCACAGCAACATTTTACTATGTCATTCTGCTTCATAGTGGACAGTGCAGGCAGGACAGCTCAATCTGTTTAGCGCACTGCTACTACCCAACTTATTGCTGTCTTCAGCTGCTCATATAATGAGCCAATTTAGCGTATACACTGAGTAGAGCACACACTGACCAAATCATCATAACAGCTAGTTATTGGGCTGGCAGCATTCAAATCAGGTACACCAATTAACCTACTCGTCTTTTTAGACTGTAGGGAAGAGAAGTTAAGGAGAGAGGGGATGAACTGGAAGACACACAAGAGCTACAGCTAACCAGCAGGATTAAACCTTCCAGCTGTGAGGCGAAGCGCCGACCGCTGCTTCACTGTGCTGCCCCTTAATCCATAATCCATAATTTATTCGAAATGCAACATGTGACGCATGATTAAAGATTTTCAGCTAAGAAAGCAAAATAAACAATTATATTACACAAAACCAAAACTATAGAATCATCTTAATAGATTAGTGACAGTGACAATTTTGTTGATAAAGAAAGAGACACTTGTTTCATGACTTGAATCCTATTACAAAATATTGCCAACTGTGCCGCAAGCATTTCATGTTATCCACATACTTTCAATGAATGTTCTCTGCTGTACATACAGATATGCTAATGCGTAACGGCAAGAGAGTTTATACATTACGAATACAATACTTTTCATTTTTACAATCATAATAGATACAACATGGTGGTTTCAGCATCATATTGATATCTACAGAAAAGCTGGAAGTTAGTCAGTCAGTGAGATGATGAATAGAAATCATTATAGGACATCCATGCAAGATGCTGCAAATGCAATGGTTACATGTTCATGTGTTTGAAGTGCAGACATGAGTACAATTGCGTATTTGGGACAGAAGTTGAAATTTGATGTTCAGACATTCTTAATCACATCTGACACCATTTGATTTGGGAGAAAAGGGCAGATAGTTCAGTCTCTTGATAGGCAAAGTTAATAGATACATATCCAAAGGATTTGCAGCTTTAACTGCAATAAAAGGTGGTTGAACAAAGCATTGACCTATAGGGGCTGAAAAAAAGCACAGACCATTCAATTTTGATTTTTTACATGTAAACATTTCTTTAAAACCGTGTATTTTCCTCACAATTCACAATGTGCTACTCATATAGTCTGTTACTAATATAAACTCCTAATATAAATTGTGGATGCAACGTGACAACTGACAATTCTACTTATGTATTTTTTTCTGGAGCGGGACCAGGGGTATAAACACTTTTTGCAAGATAAAGAAAATCACACAAATGGTTTTAGATTATTTTACATTAATATTGAATTTCATCTGTTAAGTTCCTCATTGCTGTGGTTTGTAAGTCTCCTACTGCCCTCTATTGTTCATTTACATTCTGAGCAGACTCTATTACACAAAGCAGATAAACCATTTTTAATGTCATTTGCTCAGTCGACGTGCCAGCACTGACTGTAGTGTGCATCTTATTTTCAAAGTTTTTGAGGAGTTTTTCACCACTTTTGTAGCCACAGTCTCCACATCCAATGAAACCCATCCATCCTTCTCTATTGTCATTACACAGCTCTACATGGCTCCAGGAAGTAACTGTGAAAGTTTTCAGTTTTATTTTGAAGTCTACTGCTGCTGGTTTCTGTCAGTGTGGAGCTCTAAGCAAAGTGAGATCAGGAATGGCTAAAAAGAAAATAAAATAATTGACTACCTAAATAAAAAAAATATATAACATTTTACTGCCAAATGAAACTAGTAGAACCTTGCACAAAGGTTTATTCTTCCTAAAACTTTCCATTCACAAACTTCACTGCATTCCATTGCGATTGTATGTTATGGACCAATGCAAAGTAGCATCAGATATTACAGCTACAAGATTGATGGGGTACAGCATTGCATATTAACAAATAGTTCAAGCTCAGTCTGATTTGATGTAGAGCTGTGGATATATTTCAGATGTTGCCACCAAATCTAATTTGGATTTATGCCCAGTCTAATAACGTGTAGGTAATTTGATTTAAGCAATTCCAACCCTAAGCATACGTCATAGGACATAAGACATCCTGAAGGCAATGTTTTGCTGCCTTCTTTGGGATTGCGTGTACTTAGCATCATCTTCCAATAACCTCTGACTGACTTTTATATTCCCACACCTGGAGGCTCCCACCAGTCACTCTTCCATGAAGCTCATTACTCGAGTCCAAAACAAATATTTGTCCTGCTGACAGATTCCCCAACCTGAGCTCTGGATGTCTGCCACTCTTCCAGAAGTGCCACGAGCCTCTTGGGTGCTTCTCTGATTAACGCTGTCCTTCACCAACTCCAAAATGCCAAACTCTATTTTGTCCTCTGGATTTGTAGAGTATATTTTCTCTGCTAGCCAAATTGAATCAACTTTACGGTATCCCAGTCATAAATGAAACAGCTGTGAAACTTTGCAGTATGAAACCATCATTAAAAAGGAAGTTAATAACATTAATCCCTCTTAAATTTCATAGCTGATTACTGACAGCAGCGCAAGCAGAGGTGAACCAACAACTGAATCAACAGTTTTAGGTTCAAGTGTATTAGTAGTACATTTTAAAAAATGTGTAAAAATTTGAAATCCCCACGATCTGAAATCATTTAAAAAGATTCAAAATATTTTCTTTTCTGAATTCTCTAGTATTCCATGACATGATGCTGCAATGGAGACATACAGATGATACTAATTAGGCTTCATAAGGCCAATTTGGCTTCCTAAGCAGGACTGGGAATACAATTCATCACCAGAGCTGACTGAAAAAGACAAGCCAAAAGAATCTGGCACAGAATTACCAAACTCTGCTCATTCTTCTGCCAGAACAGAGTCAAAAAGTAGTTACACACAGAGAGAAGCTTGCGTATTCCCTGCCGTCAGGGAACAGAAGCATATATCTGCAACACAGAGACATACGTGCACAGAACAGTCCCTGAAGAATGATGAAATAAGATGAGAAGGGGATCCACAGTGAGCCTGAAGGACTGGATAAATATTGACCTGAAAGAATGAAGTCTGTCATAGTACATAAAAAGGGTTTACACATACACACATATGGTAACATCCACGCCCTCTAAGAACCCCTCAGCCTGTAAACCTCACCCACACCTTCTACTGCTCAACTGTACATTTTAACAAAACCAGGAATCAATATTTTAACAAAAACCAGGAGACTTTGCTCCAAGGAAAGGAGCATGAATAATGAAGGCAGTGAGTGTGTGTTTTAATGATTTGTGTCATTGTCTATATAAGAGTGCAAGTGTTGTTATGGCAACTTTTTTCATTAGGTGCACAGCTGAATTTCAACACCATCCTAGACAAAATCCCAATAGGATAAAGTATTGCACTTCTTTTCAGCTGGCCTGAAGGGAAGTAGTTGGTGTATCATTAAATCGAAAATGGAAAAAAGCTGATAAGATCCCTTTTCCTGACGGCTGCAGAACAAAAATGTTTCAGTGTAAGTGGAATAAGGTTTCCACAATCAGTTAGAGAGTGTCCTCCATTTATGTCAAGCCAGGATGGCTATGCAATGGTAGGCAGCTGAGACCACTGTCTTTTCAAACTGCAGAAGATACAAATTCAAGGATGTTCACTCTCCTCCCACTGTCTTTTGTACACTTGTTTATTTTTTGATACAATTGGCAAATCATTCATTTAGGTAACAAGGGTTTTAAAATGTCTTCCTAAAATTTAAGTAAGCATCAATATAGAGCAACAAGATTTAAACCACTTTGATTGTTGCATCGTTTGCACCATTTCAACCACATACCAATTTGGACTTACCTGTACATGAGCTATTGCCAAAACCGGGTGCCACATTGGTCAGCTAATGATGGAAAACTAAAGGTACAGTTTGCACAGGCTCACCAACATTGGAAAATATTTTCTGGTCCAATAAGTCACAATTTCAGTTTCCACCTTCTTGGCATAAACAACATAAAATCATGGCTTCTCCATTTAAAAGGAGCTTCCAGAAGGTTAATAAACCATGTCAAAAAGCTTTAGTTACCAACTAGTTTCTAGCACAAGAAACAGATTCCAGTGGATTTGCAGCAGATTTGGCAGTTTCTAATGCTGAGAGAAATCATCTGTTTTGTCTTCCAGAGAGCGAACGTTCGCCAGGTGCAGTGGTGTGGGTGAAGCATCACGTCCTTGTTGGTGCAACTTTGCGACTGTACTTGCACTTGAACAATTGTTCTCTGTTTTCTTAAAGGGATATTTCAGTTGGAAGGCTTCTAAAGAATTGATGGGATTGCTTCATTTCCTTTGTGCTTCTTTTTCACTGTTCTCTCGTTTTATAGTGCTCCTCTGGAAGATTTCTTAGTTTCTCAGCAGCCTGAGACAAAAAGAAAAGCAAAGGTTGATTTTTAAGATTATAATAATTGCAGAAAAAAACAGCTTATTTTTTTATGCCAAGTAGTAGAACTGCTAAACCTGAAAATTTTAACAGCAAAACAGTACTTTTTCCATGTCTGTATAGTGGATTGAACAGAGGTCCATGACATGTTCAAAGTTTGGGAATTTGTTTCAAAATCTAATCTCGCTTTAAATGTCTCTACAACGTAATTCTTGATCGATCCACTGTGTTTCTTTGCCTACTAAATTCAGTTTGTTCACTGTTATGTGACAGTTCTTTCACTGACATAAGTGTCTTTATTCTAAGATTAAATTATAAACAGGGAACTCTCCAGTAATGCAGCAAAATGTGGAAATGTTCAAGAAGTATGGATACTTTTGCAAAGCACTTAAGTCATCCTTATGCGTTCTGTATTGCAGAACACAAAGTAGGAGCAGATTGCTGTGCAAGGCAAAGTGTATTACCTGTTCTGGAGTTAGATCCCTTTGCTCCTGGGCGAGCATCTCATACCCCACCATGAACTTTTTCACTGTGGCTGAACGTAGCAGAGGGGGGTAGTAATGAGCATGAAGCTGCCAGTGGGAGTTGTCTTCTTTTAAATGAGGGCCAGTTGGGGCTCCTGAAGAATAACATAACAGAGGTGAAAAAAAGGTGACATAAGACTGGAGACCAGCCCTTATGTTTGTTAAAAGGCTTTGTTCATACCAACTGCTGACTCTTTAGCTTATTAAGATGGACTGATGTTGCCATAAAACACTTCAATTTCCAAAAGCATCTGAAATTTCTCATCAAATCTTTTCATGCATACATGAAGGTTTGTTTTCTGCATGTAGACGGCTTCTAAAATCCCATAACACCTAGAGTGAGGTTTGGACTGCATAATAAAAATGTCATGTTATAATTGCCAACTGTAGTCTTCAGCTGTTGCTCAGGTTTGTCCATTAAGAAAGCATTTTGTAAGAAAGCAGCTTACACATTCCTTTTAAAATAAAAAAAAAAATAAAAATAAAATAATTTGGAGGTCAAACCAAACATAGTTTTATATAATAACTTTGAAAATAAAACTCTGGAACAGTTTGTGATTTTCAAAAAATTTGAAGAAAAACTGAAGATTTGTAAGAGATATGTAGAAGATTTGTATGTCTCATGCTTCTGCCTTCATTAGGATGTCTCATCTGACAGGAAAAAGTCAATGACCTCAATCTTTTCAGACCTTTCACTATGACATCCTTTTGTGATAAGAAGTCATCTGATTAAACACAGGGTGGCTCTTCAACAATTGTTAGCTCTTCATCACTATAATTACACTAAATGCCCATTTCAGATGATTATGAAACAAGCTACATGTTCACTAATGTGCAACAATAGTGTTTAAGTATCTTTTTTTTTTTTTTACCCTACATTAACGTAATGAAAATAATCAGTTGAATAGAAACCAGCAGAATAACTCTTAAAACACAATGGAAGTAAAAGAAAATTCCTGGACAGATTAAATAAAGTGTTTTCTTTTGAGTCCATTTACTGACAATGGGGACTAATCAAACACAGATAAAGGAGGCAGAGGAGCAATATAAAGGAAACTAATTGATAAAGAAATAAGGAACAAAGACGAGCCTGAAGCAGACAGATAAAGAATGAACGCAGATGGGGACTCCTATTAGAAGACAATTACCCAGTTTTAAATGGTCTCCAGGTTTATTTGTAGATGCACACATATTAACGTATGAGCGTGATTCCCCAGACAGTCGGCCATCAATGACAGCAGTAACCTGTGTGACAGGAACAAACTCCCTTCATGGCAACAGTGTCAGGAAATAGGTTTCCCTGTCCAGAAACAACAGCAGAACAAAAGTCCAGTTTCTTAAATTAACATTCTGAGGGAGAACCTGCTCTTTTGAATAATAAAGTTTACTGCCTCAAAGGCCAAATGTCATTGATGAGACATTTAACTCGGCATCGTTTAAAAAGTTCAAAAGATTATGTAAGGCTTTTCTGTCCAAAAGTTTAAGATGAATTGGATGTTGACCTTTTAGGAACGATGATGATTCAAAATCAAAAGGATATTATTTTTATGGAGGTTTTCAGAATGTCTGGTCTTAAAAATCCCCAAAGATTTCAGGAAACTGTTCCCAGAAACCAGAAAGCAATTAGTCAGAATGCACACAGAAGGAATTGCAACAATGCCCTCATCAATTATATACTTCTAGAGGAGAAACAGTATGGCAGGTTAAGTGTGTGAACAAGTTGCTGTTTCTGTTTATAATATTCAAGTACTGTCTTAAAAAGGATTATTTTATTATACCCCATATGTGTCCTTGGTTACAGTGCAACATTAAGATAAGAATACACTGCCCACTTTACTATAATTTCATAAAGTTATAATCAGTCAAAAGTTTTTTCATTTACTTTCTTAGTTGATAATTTGTCCCAATTTCTGCCTTGTGTTCGTCCTTTTTCACACACATAAATTCCTCTGACTGCAAGAAAAAAGAGGGTGCTAATGAACCAAACTGACATACCACATATGTGTAGGTGTTGTCTCACCTCCAAAGAAAAAGTGTTGACACATAAATGTGTGATATATAATTCCCTATTACTTTATAAAGTGTACAGACCTCTGTTAAAAGGCCAGATTTTTGCAATTAGACTCGGATAAATTCTCACAAAACCTTTTCCACACATAAAGTGAAATATATCATATGCTTATAAAGTGGAAAACAAATTAGTAGGCGAAATCATGTAAATAAGAAGGTACAATAACTTTGCTGCATAAGTGCACTAATACTTTGTTGAAGCATCTTTTCATTCAGTCGTGGCATTTAGCCTTCTTGAATTAACACCTGATATCAATTGTAGAGAAGCTGGTAGACTTGAGATTAACTCAGCTCATAGAGAAGTATTCTTATTAAAATTAATAAATTTTATCCTATGCTTTTCACAGTGATTACTAATCTAAATCTAATGAATAACAAGATTGAAACTTGTATAGGAAGCTGGCAAAGACATGGTGCCAGTCCTGAAAAAGATTCAGGAATTTCAGAGTAATACTTGTGTTCTATATTTGACAACAATGTCTAGTATTTCCTATTTCCTTGGACTAAGAGGTAAGGTTGAAAGAAAGAAGTAATTTGTTCTAAAGAAAATATTCCAAACAAGCAAAAATCTCTCAAATGTATGTAGAAGAATTTGCTATTGTTTGATAAAACCAATCTGAAACTTACAAGCTATTTTTCTCTGAGGTGCGTTTGGCACAGAGATAAGTGAAAAACTGAATTAGAGTCTGGGGTATTTGCATTGAGAAATAAAACAAAGAATACACAAAGTTAATGGGATTAATATCTCAGCTAGTAACTTTGTCCTAAACAAAAGCTATAGCTACACACTAAAACAATGGAAAAGGAGTATTTTCTATTGGAGAGGTAAAAAAATAAAATAAAATACAAATAAAGAGAATACAATAGAAGGCAACAAGATCTACAATAAGAATGGAGAGATTAAAAATCAGACCATATTGAGAATCAATAGCCTTGTTGATGGCCCTTCCAAAAGAAGAAAAACAGTGAAACAAAGCAGTGGGTCAGATGTACCTTCTGAACCATATAGCTGGCAAGGCTACTGCTAATCAGAAAAAGAACAAAAAAAAACAACAACAAAAAAACTGCTAATCATAAAAAAGACTGTGTGGAGCAGCTGATTCAAAAATAGTTTTGGTATGAGTTTCACATGGAAAAGAAAACCAAGCTAGCAACCTAGTAAGACCATAATGACTGCAGCTGTTATGCGTGGAGGTAGGATAAGCATGCTTCTCCAGTTCTCTAACACATAACTTTCAACAAATCACTGTAATCCCTCTGACATAAATTGTACCTTTGAGTCTTGAACAGCGAAACAGAATATGAGATTAAAGCCAAAACATATCCAAAGACCACCTGAGGCAAGTTTAAACCAAGATTTTCTGTAAATGTTTGATATGCGACTGAAAAAAGGGAATAAAGTAGAGCTAGGCTTGTGTCCTCTCATGCCCTCTGCCCTCTCAGCCAAACCACATACAACATAGTACTGTATCATCTTTCTCTTTACCAACTACCTTTCATTTTGGCGAGTTTGCAGAAAGCAACTTTCTTAAAAAAAAAAAAAAAAGAAGAGAAAAATAAGAAAGAAGGTTTTAGAAGCTGTATAATATCCACCCAGGTGGCAAGATTTAAAAGAAGGTACAGCTTTATTTTTTCAAACTGATATAGAATGATCACAGCTTTAATAATCTATAAGGGGATTTAAATGTGTGTAAGTGCTAGTCTTTGAGGTTGTTCACTAAATCAACTGTTCACTAAATTGAAAACAGGATTCTTTCCAATCTTATGGATTAGTTTTTAGTCACATAATGGCCACGCAGGATTTCTTAAGATATAATTCAGAAATAGAGGGGTAAAATAACATATCAGAAAAAATCTGCGCATCAGCAAGTCATACATGTTGAGAGCTAATTTTAGGTAATCTTTATGTATGTCGATGGTAATATGGTTCCTAACATTCCTAGTAAGTACAAACAAATTTAGGTTTTTCTGAAAATTACAATATTACATTCAACAGTTGCACAATAGAATTCAGTTGAACCTGTGTGTCGTTCTAGTCTGCTCTGTTGTGTTCTATTCATTAAGGATCTCGTAAAGAAAATCTTTATCAGATGGTCAGACTTTAAAGAAAACTGCAAATAAAACTGATCAGTGAAAGGCTGATTGGTGCATCTAATTTTACTCTATGAAATCAAACAACAAACAAACAATGAATCTTGGCTAATGAAACTTCAGCACTTATTCAAGTAGATAGGTAATTTCGATGGTAATATGGTTCCTAACATTCCTAGTAAGTACAAACAAATTTAGGTTTTTCTGAAAATTACAATATTACATTCAACAGTTGCACAATAGAATTCAGTTGAACCTGTGTGTCGTTCTAGTCTGCTCTGTTGTGTTCTATTCATTAAGGATCTCGTAAAGAAAATCTTTATCAGATGGTCAGACTTTAAAGAAAACTGCAAATAAAACTGATCAGTGAAAGGCTGATTGGTGCATCTCTAATTTTACTCTATGAAATCAAACAACAAACAAACAATGAATCTTGGCTAATGAAACTTCAGCACTTATTCAAGTAGATAGGTAATTTCGATGGTAATGTGGTTCCTAACATAAAACAGAAAAAGGTCAAAGCAGCTCTCCAATATTTGGACACTTTATTATTCAAATATGCAAAAGAATATGTAGCAGTTTCTGTCTCTGCACTGTTGCTTGATCTGCTTTAAAAGTCTGGAATTACACCACAAGTGAGTGCCCTTTACGTGTGAGACCTCCTGCTTTACATAAGAGAGAGCTTTCTTAATGCATTAAATATTCCAGTGTGTCTGGGTGTGCATTGAAGTGGTAATACGGCGAGTATGAGGGTGACATCAAAGATGAGAGGATTCTCATATAATTTATTAGGGCGGTAGTGATTGAAATGCAACAATGGTTATCTAACCTCTGAAAGATGTACGCTGCACCCCAACTCATATCTTTCCATGACATCTGATGGGTAAATGCATATTCATATGTGATGCTTGTGTTGCATGATGGCTGCTTTCGCAAAATCAGATTTGAGTGAAGACTGATGAAACATGGAGATGTAGAGAGAAATACCAAGTAAAATTATATTGATCTGACTTTGTTTGTGCAAATCTATAGATAAATAAAGAGAGAAGAAAGAGAGAATAGTAGAGCTAATGAACATAAAATAACAAAAACAGAAGTGGTGGAAAATAATAAAAAGTAAAGTGCTGGTAAAACAGGACTAAGGAGGTTGTAAAGAAGTCAGTTCTGGAGCTTTTGTATGAAGAGCATGAAGAAGTGGAGCTAAAGAGGATTTTAAAAGATGAAAACCTGCAGGGTGTGATTGCCACAATTCTAAAGCAGCTTTTGCTTTGATCCTCTTACTGCTGGTTAATTTGATGTGGCATTGGAAGTACGTTAGAGTTGTAACTGCAAAACCTCCTCCTCATCACAGTATTGATTACAGTCACAGATGAACATCCTCTCTAAGGATCCTTGGGTGAATTCACCTTTTAAGTTTCAATTAAGAGTAAGAGAAAGTACTTAAAGCCAGCTGTTTTGTTGCTACACATCTGTATTCAGATCCACTAATCCATTCAAAAAACAACAAAACCCAATTAATTTGTAACACAAAAGATTATGTTTAAAACCAGCAAAAAGCATTTGTCTAATTGTCTTACCATGCCAGCCCATCGAGTACGGGAACGAAACTTCAAAGAGGTTATCATACTTGGTCAATAGCTGCTTCATGATGGCTGCCAGATCTGAAAAACACCAATATGGTACAGAAAGAGTAAAAAAGCAATAAGGAATTAGATTTAAATGAGAACATTCAAATGCACAAAGTAACATGGAATGAACTTTTTTATCATATATGGCCAACTGGAAATAAATTCTAAAAAAGGACAAAAATATAACTAAGTTCTGTAATTTTGACAAAATATTACCAACTCATGTTAATAAATTCAGCAAGCTTGGAAATGGTCCTCAATTATTAGTAAGATATTGATTGATGAATCACATGCTGAAACACTTGAGCAGAAAAATGGTTCCAGATAGTAGATATATTTTTACACATTGTTTTTGTAAAAGTCCCACACTTTTATTTATGGGGGATGAATGAAAGGCAGGGAGGAAAGCAAGACAGACACAAAGTAGAAAAAAACTGCAACAAAAAGGCCAGAAGAAAGGAAAAAACATTAAGAAAGTCAAGTAGCATGGACATAAGGAAGAAAGAAAGGAATCAGGGAAGGGGGCAGTACGACAAAAATATACATGAAATGAGTGAATTTGACATCCTTTCCGTTTCTCCTAAATTTTTGTCCTTAAATTAATACCAGATAGTGAAAATCTAATTGCAGGCCGTGAAACTCCTTTAAGAGTGGCAATCATTTGATTAGATTACATTTTTAATAATTAGAGGCAACATTTAAAACGTTTTATTCCAAATTCATAATAGTTCCCCTTTTATCTTTAATTAATGTGTGGAAAATCAGTGTCAGTTGCTTGTTTCTGTTTTCCTGTATATTTTTACTTAACTGAATCACCAAAAAATAGTTTTAATTGAAGTTAAATTAAAACATCGATTGCGTAGAACCCTGTCTATTTACTGACGTGTAATTATCTTTGATTAGTTAATACTAAATAAATACTAATCTAAAAAAAATATACAAATTATTTTTTCTTTAGATCTGTGAATTTGTTCAAAGGGAGATAATTTTTAAGACAGATTTCTCTTATATTGTGAGACTGTTTTAATTATGTCAATAAAGCTAATCAATTCTATATATTTGTATGTAGAATATAGAGGTGCTGAATATTTCAGCACCTCTATTTTGTTTGGACAATTTACAAGAGACTGATGACAAATATATTGAACAATGTTAGAAATTAGATTAGAGATGCACAGATTTCATCCCTTGACTTGAATCTGCTGAGTAGTATGTAGGAACTGAAACATCTGATATTTTCCTAATCAGTAAACACACCATACCTAAGCACTACCAAGCCATGCTGACATTAGTGCTCTTTTATGTGGATGCTGTTACCAACTAAAGAAAACTAAAAGCAGTGATTTTCAGTATCAGTAGGTCATTAAAAGAAAAGTCATAAGATGGACAAAGATGTGAGAAGCTATTTGAAAAGAAAACCATATTTTCTATTATGCTATTTTCAATGCATGTTGCAGTTTAGTGAGAAAGTGAAACTTTACCCAAGTACATAAAGGTTACCCAGGCTTAAAATCAACACATGGACACTTTGTGATATTATCACCCAGATATGAGGATCAAATAGTCAAAATCACTACAGTCTGCTTCAAATTACAACAACGTCAAAATGATCCTTTCAGTTTGATTTGTTAGAAGTAAAGCTTTTCCATAAAAACAACTCTTTATGAGGTTAAATCGTCATGTAAAAAAAAAATTACAAATTACATTTTGGTTTCTGAGAAGCTTGAATGTGACATGAATGACCATCAGTAGAACCTGGCGGTTCTTCACTGAGTCACTCAGTCACCTTTGACGGATCTTAATCACCTCCCTGCTCTCTCAGTCACTCACTGTGTCAGTACTTTCACACATCCACACACACACTCACACACTTACTGTCTCTCTCCTCTGCTGTCAGTTCATTGATCCTGAGGACGTGTCTTCGTGGTAACAGCAACGTCTGGTAGGGCCACGTCGCCCAATATGGGACCACCACTAGCCAATCAGAATTCTCCACCACCACACGCTCCTAAGAGAACAACAAGTTTTTACGCAAGTTATCTATCTTTTAAGAGCATAGAGCAAAGTTTCTCTAATACAGATACTTAAATGCCAAATGAAAAAAAAAACACCGTAATTCATTCTTATAAACAGTATAGTAATGACATTTCAACATTGCTTTCTGGCTTTTAGAAGAGCATTTTCCTATCAAATTTATAAGGTGAAAATTTGTTGTACTTTATAAACATACACAGAACTCCATCCTTCCATACTTATAGTCTTTAAAACGCCAATGAACCATTTGGTTTATTGGTGACACAATAAACTAAATTGCATCACTGTGGATTAAGTTTGTCTGTGAACATTAACTTTTAAAGTCTTGCCAAATATTCTTTGATTTAGATCTGACTGTTTACTGGCCCATTCTTACACATTAATTGATTAAAACATTTGCTTCTCTGATTATGTTCTCATTGCCCACTCACTCGCGTTAGTTGGACTGTGAGGTCTGGATAGGTTTGGCCTACTTGGGATGCACGGCAGCATATTCAGAAACAGTTCTCAACCGATTGTGATATTATAGGGCATGTATTAGGTCTGTTTTAATGCTTAAAGTGTTACAACCCATAATAAATAAAACATGAATGCACAAGTCTAAAGTTTTACCACCCAACATCACTTTTTTCTTTATTTATCTCATTCAACTGTAGTTCAGTCTTGTTAATTATAATCATATTTGTATTGTTTTCTTCCATACTGCTGTTTTTCCATTTACTGACAGCATCCGTATTAATCAAATGGAGGAGCTCAGATACTTAAGTCTTTATCGTATTTTATTACATCTATTAAATAAAAGGGGAACAGTAAGTACAAACTACCACTTGGTGTAATTAAAAAAAACATAAGTCAGCTCAAAGTGAATTTGAAATGATAATTAAACTGGTCAGTAGGGAAAACAGTGTAATTACCATAAAATGTTGAATGCAGAATATGTCCAAGGCAAAATGTAACCAGATGATGAGTAAGCACAAACACAACCTGACCTTGCTCTCACAATCCATCAGACATAGATTAGCCTTCTGTCTGTGTGTGTGTGTGTGTGTGTGTGTGTGTGCGTGTGTGTGGTGATGATGCAAGAGAGACAGAGAGAGAGAGAAAGAAATACTGCTCCGTGGTACAACTATTATTGTAATGTCGCTTATCAGATCTTAACAACCCTGACAGTTTTTTTTTTTTTTTTTTCTCTAGACTTGTCAAATGATGGTGTTAGAAATGGTTTGCAGTCCCAATGTTTTTATCTTATTTTTTGGGGGGAGTGGGTGCATTACTTTAATTAATGCACTTTTTTTAGAAACATTGAAATCTATACAAAATTAAAACCTTCAAGTTGTATTACCATACGATTTTTAATGAATATAAACAAGTATTTGAAAATTAATAGTTGTAAGTCTAAGTTGGTAAAATAATTGTTCCTTCATAGGTAGGACACCAAAACTGAAATCCTTGTTAATCCACTCTTGTGTGTTAACAGAAAGCAGGATGTACAGCATTAATGGTTATTGTTTTTGTTTAGTTTTTTTTTTTTTATTTCAAATACATGCATGTTTCACAGGAGTCAATTAGTTTTGAATTTATTATTTTCACACAGTTTTAGTCCAACCCTTACGTTCTTCCAACTCTCCAGTCATTAGTCGTCTGATTATCCATCTGTCCTTCCATCAGTTATTCACCAGTCATCCCTCAATTCACTTTGGCTAACCATGGATTTTCTTTCTTCTGCTTCTCTTCACAGTCCAAAATATACATGTGGCGTTGGATTTCAACTAAGACAAATTTGAGGCTTTTTCGAGCTGTTCCATCCAAAATTGCTCTGGTCTTTGGTTGTGAGGAGATAGCACACAACTGATTATGGTTATTTGTGCAAAAGAGCATCCTGCTGTTGAAGAAAACGCCAACTCCAAGTCTATTAAGACTAAGCTGTCAAGCAAGTGCAAGAGAAAACAAAAAAATAATGAGCTACCACTGGCTGAAAAGCACTGCAGCAGTCCAAATATTTCCATGTGTCAGTCACTGTTAGGAGCTGCCTTATTCAAATACAACACAGGGGGTTGTAGGATGTTTGATTTCATTCGCTATTTACCATCAGTGTAGTGAGAAACTGAAATGGAACAAAAAAGATTTGACAAGTATATATACTTTAGCTCATTTTACAGACAACAAGCAAGACATGTCGCATTATGATCTATAAAGAATGAGAGCAGGACAAAAAATCTCCAAGGTAGTTGTGATATTAATAATGAATTTATTACTCATGTTATTATCTGGTGATTGATTTTGTTTGTACTTTATTTCTTGTTAAAAACTGTTCCAACATTGTAAATTGATGATTTTCTTAGTTTATTTTTTAAATTATAAATTAGAATCAGATTTATTGACCAAGACTGTGCATAAAAACAAGGAATTTGACAGCCTTTTTACACACTCACTCATAGAATGCAAACATTAAGTATTAATTCATAACATTGACTATAAAAACAACATGTACACACAGGGGTATCTGCTTGTGCAGCCAGCAGGCAGATTGCGGTTGTGCAAATAAGCTTATTTCCTTTCATAGTGGAGCAGCTAACTACTTCGGACAGACTGAAAAAAATGGCTGTGAAGATGATGATCAAAAGCTCCTTTAAAAGGCTTTACTCCTTGAGTTGCTGACTGTAGTATGGTCTCTGGTGGGCCTTCTTCCAAACAGTGCAGGATGACGTACAGTCACAAACTGTCGGCATCATCTGCAAACCTGCTTGCCACTGCAGGGGGTCAGCAGACAGCCTATGATGACCTTCAGGTGCTTCAACAGCAGTCATTGTATTTCATGATCCCAGACGTAAGAGCCTGCAGTCACTTAACCTCGTCACGGTGCATTTCGTATGGACCAAGATGATGGTGGAACGTTTAAACCAAATGTCAAAATAATTTGAAATCACCTTTTCACAGCGAGGCATTAGTAAATAATTAATGGATTCAGAGAGAAAACAGGAGTGTTATAATAACTGTAGAGGAACCAGTAATTTAACAGAACCACAAATTGCTTGGCTTTTAATGGACGTGAACCATTAATGTACTCTACTTAGTGAATAATAACAATAATATTACTATTATTATTATTATTATTATTAACAATAATAATAATAAAAATTAATAACATTAAACTATTACTACTTTGCTGTCAAGATTTTAAACTTCATTGTATTTTATAAAGAGTAAGTTAGGGTAGGATAAGACTGGGGGAGAACGGGCACAAAATAAATTATCTATGCTCTAAACTGCTTTTATCTTTTATTTATCTGCCCAAAACTGTTTCATTAAAATATTCCAAAGATGGAACACTTAATGAAATACACAAAATATTCAGCTTTATGTAAAAAATGGATCATATCAAAACATAAAAAAATCTTGCACAATTGTAATTAATGATAACACTTGACAAAATCATATTTACTTGTTTCATAATTGGTTATCGTGCTACATTTTTAACATGTAAAGCATCTTAAATGCCTGTTTTCTGTAATGTGTTATGCAAATAATCTTGACTAGACATTATTATAAGAGTTTAACAGTTTAAGATATTTCTTTGGGTTGATTTCTTCTCTTTTCTTTAGTCTTAGCAACAAAGATGGGACTTAGTTTTTCTTTACAGACACTAAAAGGTTTCAATTGACCAGAGCTCCATCATGCACATGTTTGCTTTGTACCTTATTTGGCTTGAAGCAAACTGCCTCACCAATGCTACACTGTGTTGGTCTATCACATAAAATTCTTATGGAATTCATTGAGGTTTGTGGTCGTAATATTAGATTTACTTTTTACTTTCATCAGCTCATTTGATCTTCTTTTCTGGCCAATATTTCTTTCTTTTTTTCTCCTGCTCATCTTCTTGACCTTAGTTGCACTTGCCTGTGTTCACTGTTTCCCTTCTATACTTTTAGCAAGATTATAAAATCTTGCTCAAGACAGAAGAACAGAGGACAAGGAGAGGAAGCAGAGGATGTCCTAAAAGAGATCCCTCACACAAAAAAGCTCTAGGAGTTTTATTCAATTAGATTAAAAAAAAGTTTTTGTTTCAAAGTTGAGTGTCACCCGGGAACTAAAGTCCAATTCAGTGTCTTCCAAACACTCCAATGTGCCAATTTAGGGTCTCTAACCTTGGGTCAGGGAGACAAGAGCAAAGAAAGAGAGACAAATACACACAAACACAAACGCTCTAGCCAGCGACTGACAAATCATTCTTGGCTACTCGCTCACACACAAACACTGTGCTTACGGTTTTCGCTCTGATTTTATAAAGGTTGGTGCCCATGACTAGCTCCCAAGGAGATTCAAGTGTCTACTCTGTTTTTCTCAAAGTCTTAATATTACCTTCCATATCACACAAGCACACACACATAAGTAAACAAGAGTGTCCCCACAGTCCCAATAGAACAGGTCAGCTTATCCCCTGAACAAATTGTTGGCTTTTTTCTTCTGACACCCACATCTTGTAACTCTCTTTCTGACTTATGTGTTTACAGCTCCATGCTCTTCTTTATTTTGCCCTAACTTTCATGCTTTTACTTTTCTTTGAGTCTCAAATCTTTAAGTTCATTTTAGACTCTACTAACAATGATTATATTTTACCTTTTGGAATATTGAGGAGGTGATGGCATTTTTCAAAGGCATTCATATCCCTTGGTGGCTTTTAATTTCTTTTAATGTTGCAGCTACAAACTTCAGATCATTTTAATAGAATTTCATAAACATACAACTCTCGAGCTCTAAACTTCAGACCTCCACAGGTGTTGAAGCCAGACAGATAGAACTGAGTATTTAAATGATCTCAAACAATGATAATGACTTAACTGTACCCCATCCTCACCAGATCCCAACCTAATAGAGCACTTTGGAAAGCAGTGAACAGGAAATCCACATCATAAATGTGAAACAGTTTGCAGCAACTGTGTGATTCCATGATGTCAGGATGGATTGATATCTCTATGGAAGGTTTCAAACACAGGGCTGAATTTATGCCACAAAGATCAGAAGAGCAAGTGGTTGTAAAGCAAGAAGTGAGTCTACAATTGAGTACAGAGTAGGGAGCTGATATTTGCAGGTTAATTAGTTGATGTTTGAAGTCTGGATTTAAAAAAAAAAAAAAAAAAGGCAATCTGCCTTTGAAGCAAGATTCCAGGTGAAGCTTGCCAACTTTACATCAAAATGGCATTACTTAATAAGAACTAAAAGCTCACCTTTAATTCTAACGCCATCAATATTAGTGTGTATTGTGTCTAAAGTTAAACTTGTCTTTTTTGTATGTCTGGGGAAAGCATAGGAGCCTTTTATTCAGAGAGCTGGTTGGTAATGTGCACTAACAGCTTGGGTCAGTGCAATGTTGTGATACTTTGTAGTCCAGTCCTTTTTTTCACATCTCTATAAAAGCACTTAAAAAGTCAAAGAAGTTTTGGTCAACATTTTAGTGGTTTTGAAATCAGACCTTTATAAAACCTTAGTATAGCTTTTATACCAGAAACTTACTTATGTTTACAAAAAAAGTACATTTTTGCTTAGTTTGTTTGATTTGACATGTCCAATTTTAGCTCAATGATAAACTGTGAGGGCTAAAGCAAATCCTACTACAAACCCAACACATTTTAAAACACTACAACAAGAACAACATTGCAAAAAAATCAACATTAGTTATGCTAAACCGAAATGAAAAGCCTTTCCCCAACAGTTAGAGAAAATATTCCTCAAATTGTCAAGTCTAATTCCAATGCAGCAGGTTTTTTGCTAGTGTTCACTAATGACATTTGGCAACACGCTAAAATCTGTGTGAGCACCCTAAATGTACTCACACGGTTTCCCTAATGTTCAGGTGGGATGAAGACGGACGCTGCAGTATTATGCTAATGAGCATCAATGCCGTCCAATCACACGCTTCACTGACTGGGAGACAGGCAGAGGAAGGAAAATCAAGAGAATGATGGCATAGGAAAAAAAAGGGGCAAGGAAAGGGTGGAAGTAGATGGATGAAGGGAGATTTGTGAGAAAAGCAAAATGTGGTACCGTTATTTAAATGGGATCTTTTAATCATAATTTTGTACAGTAAAGCACTTTTAGAATAATTTGCATGGGAAAATTATCAGCGTCATTTACCCCCTAATTTAACAAAACAGGTAAGATAAACATTAGATGATTTTACTTTGCACATCACGATCATTTACAGGGTTAGATTCCAAAAAATATTAAGAACAAATCCAGCCTTTTTTTTCTTTATCTTAATCCCCTTTACATTGAATGCTCAAAGATACAGAAAAAACCCATGTTTTTGAGGCAAAGATTTTGATTTCAATGAAATGAAACATACCATTGCCACAGCAACGCTTCCATCTTTGTAAACCTTTAAAGGTCGTTCAGAAATTGCTATGAAGGAAAAAAAATGATACTTTTTCAGAATAATGTTTGACTTAAGGCGGAATGAATGTGTGACCTGCATGCTCTTCTTGTATTACCATTTGGACTGTGTGGATTTTAGGTACTTTAATAACTATTATATGTAAAAAAAAAAAAAAAAAAAAAAAAACGATTTAGGCCAAAAGGCTTAGTAATTTGTGACACTACAACTAAATCTAAACATAAAAGAACACAAGAAGTCCATTTATTATCTTACATGTACCTTTTTCTCTGCTTCTTGTTTGGCGTACTGCACCAGCAGCGGCTCTCCATTTTTCTGATAGTATGCTCTTTGGCAGCGGTCAGACACAGCAGGTTCATTGGGCAGGAAGTTGCTAGCCCACACCTTTAGCAGAAAGGGAAAGAAAACAAAGAAACTCTACATGGACTCAAACAAATTTATGAGTACAACATAAAACATGAAGGAAATATGAGCTTCTAGATGACCAGTTTCCTTTAAACACTAATATGTGTATAATATCTGCATTTGAATTTGGACATTATATGTTGTGTTGTCTCCTTCGAGAATAAAACAAACTTTAACAAATCAACACCCACAAATTTTTGATTAAAAAGAATAGTTTGTTAAATTTTCCACTATTGTTCCAGAATGGCCAATTTTTTTTAAAATCATTTCTTATAACCTCTTTTCTTCAGCTTACCTCACAATTTTTTATAAGATATAGGGATATGGATGGTTTTGAGTTGATTTGTGTTGGATCCCATTTAAAATTTTCCGGCAGAGATCCCTGATTTTTTTTTTTTTTTTTAATAAAAAATCTGTTACTTTTAAAAGTTTGTGGTGAGTATCCGTTTCAATGGTGCCCACTGTTAAATATCTAAATCCAATCAAGCACTTTTCAGATGACATGAAAGCAACTTGGAGGTATAATTGTTTCAAAACTGACCAAAAACTACCAAAAAAGACATCTTGCTGGATCTTTGCCATAAAAAACATGAAGACTGTACTGAACGCAAAAACCTTAAAGATGCCAGAGAGCATTTCAAAAGTTTTTTTATGTTCAAAATGAGCAAAAACAGCAACTGTGTGTCACTGAGCAACAAGCTAACTGAATGCTGAGAGTTCTGAAGATTACTACAAACCCTGCATTAGAAGTCACACAGGGGAAAATTTTTTGGGGGGTCTCATTAGAATTCCAACACATATACCTTCCAATGGCACCTTCATTTCATCGACCTTCTAATGCCCCCTGTCTGCCACCTATTTCACATCTCATGATTATGCTCCTCCCTGTTCCATTCCCTTCCCATTTCCTCAACCAGAATGTCTTCTTGAAGATGCTTCTGAATCTCTCCTCCCAGATTAGTATCGACTGCCTGCCCACCTCTTGTCACACTGTAGGCTTTGTTATTAAGCTCTGTATTCTCCTTTGCGCATTCGGTCCGGATGATCTCTTTCAATGATCTGAGACAACTTAAATGTGGAAAGATGATATGCATGCAATTTGTTACACATGTTTTTTGTTCACTTGCACATATAAAGAGAAAACCAACCACATCACTAAATGAGCTGATCCCATAAGCATCAGATTATTATTAAATATTCATTTGAATACAAGGAAACACACACACACACACGTATGCACACAAAGTTATGCCCCTATCTGTTATGATAACACTAAAACAAAAGACACATTTAAATCAGCCGCACTGATTGCTAACTGAAACAAACACATTGTTCCAGCATTGCTCTCATCAGCCACCAACTGATGCTCCTTATCAGACTGCATTCACCTTAAATGAGATGCTGGCAATTTCTCCAATTTAGCATCCCTGGAGAAAATTATGCACGATGCTTCAAAGCATGAGATGCCACATATCTGAAAAGAAATATTCAGCTCTATTCGCGTTACAGACAGAAACACTGCTTTGCATTTTGGTGTGGCTGTATTATATCCCTACATTCTTTGGCCCTAATAACATATTTCTATCACATTTCAGAAAGCTTTTTATGGGCAACAATGAACATAACAGAAGACATTTGCACAATTCAGGTTTGAGCTTTATGGCATTTTAATGGGCATTAAAGCAGACAAGCAGAATAAAACAACCCCACGATTCAACTACAGACTCTGGGCTGCAAGATAATTTAGAACATGAAAAAAAAATTATATTTTGAACAAGAGGTATACGGGGTTCTTAAAATTAAAATCCACACTTATCTACTCATACTTATACAAAATGGCAAACAGTGCAGAGAGCTATATTGACTCTCTCTGAGCAAAGATGAAGTAGTAGTCTACATTGTGGGGGTATTACATGGGGGATACATTTGGAGCATTATCAGAAATGATAGTTCAGTAGAAATGGTTTGAATGGGTACTAAAATTGCAACATTATTTACATTTTCAGCCGGTGCAGTTCACGTTCACATTACACTGTGTCAAATGAATTAAACCCTTTGCAAAACCGCAAAGGATTTTGCCAATGGTGGTGCTGTGCCAAAGGCAACTGAAGGAAACAACTGAGCGCAACTTCCTTCCTCACAAAATGTAAAAAAAATATGGAGTGGCGTGAGGTTTTGATGGTTAAAGGATTTTCCTTTTGTTTTTGGAAAAAGACTATGAGCCATTTCTCCCACTAGTGCTAGACTTGCCCATTTGTTTTGACTGCAGCTACCCAGAAGGCCCTGTGCTTGGCTTCCTGTGTTAGGAGCTGTGTCCGTCTTGCTGCCATTCACATATGCATTTCAAACTCACCAGAGTTGACTTCAACCACACCAAGGCCTAGAAATTCAGGACACTTTTGACAGTTGCTGCCCATCCCAAGTCACTTTGGTAAAAGCTGCTCATCCTTATGCTTGACCATTTTTGCTAATCTTAATACATTATTTAAAACAAAACGGCTATAGATGATGTGTAAATAGAATGCACAAACACTGACCAGCTGTAAGACTCCAGCCATGTGTAACTATTGGGCTCTTAAAACTGGTCCTTAGACTATTTGGTTCACCCCTGTCTTTGCATGCAATAATCTATCTACCCAACAACAGTCGTTTCATTATGCAGTCCACATAACACACCAAAGAGAAACCAGAATATAATCTCAACTTCTGAGAAAGATGTTTCTTTTGATAGATATTTCAACTCCATAAGTCTGTTAACTTCAATATTGCTGCTCATGTAAGCAAATGCAACACTACACAGAGAACCGCATACACACTGATGGCTACTGGAGTTAACAAGGGATATTACTATTCAAGAAGCATATGTTTTCCTTCTTCCTCTCTGATCCTGTGAGACCAAAGTTATCAGAACCCATGCTGCCTACAGAACAGGATTAAGATTTTTTTGTTTGTTTTTCATCAGTCAAAGTTTTATGTCAATGCTCCAAACACATGGATTTTAATGCGCTGGCAGATATAACTCAGAAGTAAAATTATTTTAAAAGAGGAAACCAAACTACATAAACGTATTCTCTCATAGACTGGACCCAAATTGTATTCTAGGTGCACAAAAATTGAAGCTATTGATCCCTTACAACTAAACCAGGCAAAATGAAATATTGATATGAAAAGATATGTATACTTTATCATTTTATAATTTAAAATTAGATAAGATTTTCACCTTGCAGCTATACTTTATAATCTTTATAACCATATTTTGCTCCAGTGACATACTGCCATCTGGTGGTAATTTCTACAATCTTGCCAAAAAAAACAGAACAGACTCATTTAGGCTCTAGGTTTGTTTTTGCCATTCACATCTAACTACATTTATAGGAATCATTCAGACTCAGAAGTTGGGAAGAAAATAGATATTTTAGGATGAGGAATGAGAAGACAACTTTTTTATTATTGATCACTGATGACCTTGTTTTCGTCATCGTGTAGATTTACTTAATTTCTATAGAAACCCTAACGTACATTTACGAGTATAAGTATGCAGTTTTCTACTTGTTTAATACTTTGTATTCTGTAAATTTACATTTTTCAAACATTTAAAGTAAAAGGTTAACATAAAGCAGTGCATTCATGCAAAGTTAAAGGAAACAAGAAGATAGAAGGTTATCAGAAATGTTCACTAAAACCTAAAAAATGTAGAATGCATTTGTATTCCACCCCCTGAATCAATACTTTAAGGAAACATGGTTCTCTGAAATTACAGCTGCAAGTCATTTGTGGTGCATCTCTATAAGCTTTCCACATCTGATTTCTTCTTTGCGAAAAACTGAGGTTGAGCACAGCATATGTCAACTGAAAATTTCAAGTCTTCTCACAGATTCTTAAATGGGTTTAAGCCTGTACTTTGACTGGACCATTGTACCACACGAATACCTTTTAATCTAAATGGGTGTCCATGCATGCAGGATACCAGCTCTGGAGGACTGATTTTGGATGCCACTAATCTAAACTATTCCATCTTGCACCAAAATGCTGCATGCCAGGTTCAATAAGAAACTTAACATTTTAAATAAAGGTTTTAAAATATAAAGATTGCATTACTAAAAATAAAAATCTCAAAGGTTCTTTTTGTTTTTGTCTTTTTTTTATTTTTAAGGTACATTAAAAAATTTATATTTTAATGCACCTTAAAAGCTTCTAGACAATAAGCAGCTCTCATGCAGACTGGTAAATTATTTTGTAGGTGTGGTACAACAGAAACAGAAAATATATAAGCAGCTTTAATTTTTAGTTTGAACCTAAGACGCTGCTGCTTGTTTGAACTTTGTGTTCTTCTAGATGTTTAGTAATTTAAAACACATTTAAATATGGTGGAGCAGTCCGGTTTTGAACAGAAACCCACTGTAGCTCTTATGTTAGTGTTTCCTAGTTCTATGAATTTCAAGTGGTGAAGAAGTGACTAGACTACTGCAAAACACACACACAAACACCCGCGCACATGCACACACTCTTTTTCTTGGGTGCTTTTAAAGGGAAGATACATGGGACATAACATATCTCAGCTGGGATACCAAGAAGGAAGGGATAATTGTGTCTTACCACACAGATAATATCTTTACAGGAGTTCTTCATTTGTTGTAACATTTAGAGGTGTTTCAAGAGCATAAAGAAATAAAGCGTGGACATTTTTATAAAGAGCAAAGGATAACAACAAACAGGTCAAATAGACATGGCTGTGACAGATGGCTTGACAGCCATCCTGTCTAAAGGTCCACTAATTAGGGTTGTTGTGAAATTTGGTCACAAATGAGCAGGGCACCTTCTTCAAGGTTGTGGCTTGTGACAAACTGGAAACAGGACCTCTAATGGCTTTCTTCAGGCAGGTCTTCCCCAAAGACCAGACGTGTAGCGTGAATAACTGTTGACAGATTGTTCTACCTCGGCTGCGAATCTTTGCAGCTGATTCAGTACTCCCAGGGGTTTTTGGGTTATTTCTCTGATTAATGCAGTCCATGCCAAGTTCGTCATCAGAAAACCGTTTATCATTTTCTTTCTACTTCATAATCACTCTTAACTTTGTGTTTATCTACTACATGAAATCTCCAAAAAAATACACTGAAGTTTCAGGATGTGATATGATTTAAAAAAAAGTTCAACAGGTGTCACTATCCTCACAAATGATCTATAGTAGACTTGTAGGCAGCTTTAATTCATCAGACTTTTTTATGAACAACGTAACATTTTAAACAAAATCCTTTTTGTATGCATATCTTTTCTGCGTCACACTTTTATGAAATAGTTTGACAAGAAATATCTCTTTCCCCAAATTGAGTTTCCTAAATCACCGTACCAGAGAGAAAAACATGAAGACGAACAAAGCGTCCGAGCTGTAATATAGGTGTGACTATGCATACTCCCTTACGCATAATGTGGCAAAGCTGCACAGCTGCATCTGATTTCTGGATGAGGACTCAATTAGCAGCTCCAATGCTGTGACATTTCTGACTTCAAAACCTGGACGTGTTTTTCTTACACATTTGTAATTCTTCAGTGGTGTGTGAAGGAGCTGCAAATTAGGGCCCTTGTAGATCTTCATCTACTTCATGTGTGTGTATGTGATAAACGTGGTTTTGTCATTTTAAACTCATTCTGCATTTTGAAAGCAGCTGCCCTTCATGAATGTCTAAACTTATAAAATCAGTAGCCTTATTTTCTTCCAATAGTTATTAAAGTGTAAATTGCTCTAGGTTTAGTGGAAAGTCTGTGAAAGATGTATAAAAAGTTTAAAATACGTTTAGCTTTTATTGTAGCAGCTAAATTTCATACTTTTTGGCAAAATCCAACCTGATGTATGTACAAGTATTGTTTCGAACAATTATGCCACATAAAGAAAAATAAGCAAAACCAAAAAAAATGTCTTGCATCCATAGTAATAATTGAAATGTGACCTAAAAACTATAATTCACAAATTATATTGTCATGTCTTTCAGTGTATAGGTATACTTAGTACATTTCTCTCAGCCATTTAAGTGAGACAGATGGGTTTTTAACTTTATAACGTTTCGACATGGCTGCCAACGAACACTGCTACTAGTGTAAATTTGAACATGGATTCAAGTGTTTTTAACAAACCTAAAATTGCTGAAATGTGACAGGCTAAGTAGGCGACAGTTTACAATACCATCACACACAATAGGCAGAATGATAAATATGTGTGTAAAATTCACTCAATGTGAGAATGTGGTGTTTAGGTGCTCATCCTACCTGACAGTGAGGATGTGGATTCGAACAACCCATCATTGCTCCTTTATTTTCAAAAATCTGCAGACAGAAGGTGGGAGTCCATGTATATTTCAGGTGTAGATGACACGATGTGCTTTTTTGTCAAGTTAAATTACCACAACCAAGAGCATAGTGGGTATTTCTGAGAAGATTTTTTTCTTTACGTTGTTGGCTGACATGCAAATGTGAGTGAAAACAGTTTGGGAGCTGGTTTAAATTCAACACATATGGTAAAGCGAATTATTTATGAAAGTAATTTATTCTCTTGGAACACAGCAGCACCTGAAGTTTAAGAAAAACAAAAAAAAACTGTTTTCACACAAAAGATTGTTTCTGTTCCCAGAGGAAGTGATTTTCAGGTAGTTATACACCTTATAATCCATGTTTTTGTACATCTCTCTTTCTGAATACGTGAGTTTGCCCAGAAGCACCATTAAAGTTTCACCGAGTTCAATGGAAACGCCTTTAAAATACAAAATAGCTGAATGGAAAATGTTGTGAAATTTGTGATGTGAACTTTTTACAGCTCTGCAATGTCAGAGAAAGTTAGATGAGGTGAGTGACAATAAATAGCAGTGAAAGGAGTGTGTGGTATATGTACCTGAACCCATGGATACGTAGCACCGAGTTCCTCTAAAATTTCAGCCCACTTGTCAATCACCTTGATAATCTCTTCTTTTTTCATCAAAGGGAGGGTGACATCAGACCAGGGGTGGAAGCACATGACCTTACTAAACATGACACAGAGATTAGGGAAGAAATAGTCATGATGTAACAACATATAAGGATAAAAATGAGTAAGCAGGACTCTAAATGCCCATTGCATCTGAATATAAAACTTGACATTTTTTTTTACAGAGACAACTAAGAAGCTTGTGTCAGGAGAGCAAACCTTTTGTGATAAATAAGGTTGGGTGAGAGACCAAATCTATCCTGCCATCTAAAAGCCAACTGCTCGTTTTTGGTGAGCATGCCAGAAAATATTATTTTGTGCTTTGGTCACTAAGATCAAGATTGAGCTTTTTAGAAATGAACCTACATCAAAAAACCTAATTTCCATCAGATGATGGCTATAGGTCGCTTGTATGATTGTTTCTTTTCCAGGTGCCTCTGATACTCTGATTGTTACACAAAGCATCATGAGCTCTTTAAATCTACCCCACAATGGTAAATCAGACACCAACTCAAGCTTCAGCCATGGCTTTCAGAGTCCCGTAGAAAACTTGTTGCTGCAACATTGAAGAGTATAAAACACAAGATACTCTGGAATAATCTCCAGAGTATAAAACACTGAAGATTATTCTAGACCTCAGAATAATCTCCAGCCTTGTGCAAAGTTAAACTCGTAAACTGCTTCACTTTTCGATGAAATATTAACAGCTGAAATAAAATGTGTGTCTTTTAAGGCCTTTTTTTTGTCTTTGGCAGGTGTGTCAGTCTTTCCTTTGTTTAATCCATCACTATTGAAGGTGCATGTCTAACAATTCTGTTCCATCTCACACACCTCATCAGAATCTGTTCCCTCTCGCGCTCTCTGTTCCTCTTGGTGTGTCTATTATTTATTCTGAGTTTTCCGCTGCGGTTCCGGCAGGTATTAATAAGTAATAAACATGCCAGTGCTATCACTGATCTACTTGGCCTGGTTAAATTGGTAATCTGAAGGAGTGCTTTTTGCATCTCTGTAGTGAAGTGGACTTTCCAGAGACCGACTGTCAAATACTACTGCATGCCTACTTTGACATGTTTTTTGGATTGCACTGCTGAAGCTCAGGTCGTTGGCTATAATGGTAAACTGAAAACATGACTATGGTTGGATCACAAACTTAAATTAATCCTTTAAGAAGCATATGACAGCTCATTCTTCAATCCTCACAAAGAGACATGTATATTCAAGAAGAGGAAAAAAGTTTCTTGCACATCTATATATTTTCAGATCTACATTTTATTTGTCAGTTTTAACATTGCCTAAAACTGATGGTTTGAGAAAATAAACCTTCACTATTTATGGCAGAAATCGGGAGACAGTGAGAAAACATTTTTGTGCAAAAGTGAAACCTATTAAAAGAAGCAGATTGGATAAGGAATCAGCAGGACAAACCCTATGTGGCAAATACTAAGTATACTTTAGTCAAATTTGCCTGTACACTAAATATTTTAAAAATTTCCAAAGAGTGTGAAGGGTTTTGTAGATCATAGCGTCTGCTTGGCCTTATAGTCAAACTGATTACAGAGAGAAAATGTTTTATAAGTTTTATTTATTTATTATTTTTATGATTTCCCATGACTTCTCTCTCTCTCTCTCTCTCTCTCTCTCTCTCTCTCTCTCTCTCTCTCTCTATCTTTCTTGGCTGAGGATATATAACCAAAAATAAATTTTTAATAAATTAATAATCATATAATGGTCTTTCAATACTTACCTGCAACCACCTGGCTGTGCTCAATTTTTCTATCAAAACTCTCATGCAAAAACACAACACTTTTTTTTTTTTAATTATGATTCTAAAACTGAAGAAATGAGATGAGATTTTGGCAGACATTTTAAGAGAGAAAAAAACTTGATATGAAGTAAAACCTACAATGTTGGGTTTAAATCAAACCATGCTGTGAGTTCAGCCATCTGAAACCATATGTAATTGTGTTAATGTTTCTTCTTGTGATGTGTGATCTGTGGTGTTCTTGAGTACTCTGAAAGGCACTTCTAAATAAAATGTATTTGTAGTAGTTGTAGTATAGAAAAAGATTATTTGAGTATGAATTGAACATACCACCAAATTGTCTCTGTGGGCTTGGGGGGAAAAAAAAAAGAAAAGTTCACTGTTATTGCAACAGTTTGTTATCAGACTTACGAACAGAACCCAGGCAAACAAACGTGAATGTCAGCGTAAAAAAAGATATTACATTTCTATTGACAGTCGCAGTCTTCTGGGACGAAAAGCAGCTAGGGTGCGATCAATAATTGAATACGACTTTGGTGTTTATGCTCAGAGCAAAAATGAATGGTCTGTATTTATGAATTGTTCATGAGACGACTTACAAGAGCTCAGAGCTCTCAGAGCATTTGTATTTTTAAATCCAGTTGAACACTAAAAGCAAAACAAACTAAAGTGTTGCTAGTTATTGTGACTGTATTGCAGATGTCTAGGTGGACAATATGGCAAAAATAATTTCATAATTTAATCCTAATACCACAATGTAAAAATGTTTAGTTGCAATTAAAAAAAAGAAAGATAATAGTATTTTGACCAGAGGACAGTTCAAAACAGATTTTTATCAGACTTTTTTTTATGTCAAAATCTGTAGAGTAAGCATTTATTGACATGATTAATGTATAGAAGACCTAAAGTAAACTCCCTCAAACCATTTTGTCTTAATCAAAAATGTGTTTTATTTAAAACTTAAACAACACAGCCCAGTTAAAATGTACCATTGCTACATTAAATGGGATAAAAACTATAAAATTTCTTTATCACAAATGTTTTTTTGTTTTTTTTATTTTGTTGTCTCATCTCCTTTGGCCATTCATATGCCCTATTACATACTACTCTGCTGCCATTTAATTTTAATGAAATTATAAATCGTTGCAGAAGCTCCAATGTTCAAAATGTATCTATATATAATTCAGTTCTATATTTTCTGAAAACGCTGTATGGAGTTTCCATTTATTTTTTTGATCTCTTATGATGTCTGATCACACCAAACAAGAAGCAATTTCTTACAGGTTGATATACATTACTGTCCAGTAATCTCTTTCCCTTAAAGTTGAGAATAGGTAGAAAGTCACTTTAAATCAGAAAATCACAAAATGTCAACCTGGCAGTTACGAATTGACAAATTATTCAAATGAAGCTCCCCACAGCAGACAGATTGATTTCATGCCTGGTTTTTTAACTTCAAAGATCCTTACTATCAGCTGGAGGTAATTAAACTATTTGACTTGATCTGCAACTTTTGTATCTAAATGGCATCAGAAGCACTTAATGAAAATAGGGGCATGAAATCTTCAGAAAATTATTTCAAAAATGTATTTAAAAATGTGTGAATTATGAACAGATTTCACTGGAAAACAGCTAACCACCAAGAAATATTTACTGCTATGCAACAGCTTCTTATTTAGAGTACTACGCTACTACAATGGCAGTCCAAGAAATCTGTCAAGTTTGCAGCATGTTAAAGAGGCATATCTGACCACTGTAAAGTCTGCAAAATGTTACTGTAGTTTATTGCTGGGATGCTGGAAGACAAAAAATGCTTGTGTTGTTCATTCTGATGTATTGAGGACAAAAAACATCTTCTACGTCCTCTTTGTGCACAGCTTTATGTCCAAAAAATAAAACTAAATTTAGCACATTCTTTGTGTGAAGACATGTAAGACAATGAGCTTTATGAACATCAAAAATATGATTTTTTTAAATAGAAAAGTAGCAGTGTGGTTGGTAGCACAGTTCTGTAGCAGTGAGAAGGTTCTGGGTTCAAGACTCAGCCTTTCTGCATGGAGATCGAATGTTCTCTCTGTGCATCTCTCCAGGTACTCCGGTTTCAGAAGCAGATGAGTTTTAATTAAACTGACACTTATGAGAACAAACTGAGAAGTAAACTGGTAATTGAGAAGTCTAAATAAATACAGGAAACATTGCTTTTATACTAAGTTTTGTTTTACATACTGATTAAATTGGTCGAGCTCTGTGTAAGCATAAGCTCTAATTAATTCCTGTAGCTTAAGTTGACCTTTCAACGAAAAATTTAAAGAACCTGATAATTAAAATGAGAAGGCAAAACAAAGTGGGTCACATTTTTTGTCACAGCAGTGTTAATTGGGAGCATATAACCGAAAAAAAAAAGATACAATAAATCATTAGTGTCTGTCTTATCGCTCCCCTTAACCCATTTTTCTTTGTCTCCCATGACCCAGATCCTTTAAATTCTGTTTTCCATACTGTTTTCCTCACTAATTGGCTCTGTGAAAGTTGCTCCAGGGCAACAAGCTATAGCTTATTTTCAAAGTATCCTTTGTTTTTTTTTTCACCCCCAATAAAGACACAATCTGCATGACAAACACAACAGGAAGATCCACGCAGATTCTGTATGAGGAAAAACATCCGACACAGACCAAACCTCGACTCACTCAGACTCCAAAACACAGAATAAAAACTTCTGATATTTAAAAAGTCAACACAGAGAAAGCACAACACGTCAATCACCGCTGCTTCAGTGCTTTTCACAGTACGAGTACCTGACAGCCTCTACATCTGCCAACACTAGGGAATTAGACCCATAGTTCAGTTTTTAACCAGCACACTCACTGAAGACGTTTGATTTAATCTATTATTCAGATGTTATGCAACTCTGTTGTCAGCCGCTATCATCCACGTAGACCCACAAAAACAGGGAATTGCTCTTGAGCTTTATCAACAAACAGACAATCGTATCGTGACAAGATAAAAAAGAAAGAAAATGAGAGCTGGGTTTGTCACTTCTTCAAAAATGATCTGTAGAAGAATACAAAAGTTCAGGAAAAAGAAAACATTATTTCTACAAAAAAAGTTTTTAGTTCTCTAAAGTGATACTGTCCCTGTGAACTTTATATGATGGTGAGTTTATTATTATTCATAGAAAAAGAAAATATGACAAAAGTTAATTTAGCCAATACCTATTGAAATGGAGAAAGATTTCCATCTGCTGGTGGTTTTAAGATTCACATCTGCATCTATATAGAGTGTGTACAGAGAATGAAGGAAACTATTCCAGAGTATAACAGAGATTTGCAAACAAGTTTTTCACATTTTACAAGATTATACTATTTTTTACTATTTTAATAGTCTGGTAATAAACCAATTTCTTTCGAACAAAACTGAAATGTTGCTTTAAAATTTAAATAACTTGGCTTAGTATTAAGAAGGTATAGTAATACAACTACTTGTGTACTTTTCTCTTACCAAACACCTCTGGCGGCTTTCGACTGGAATAGCGGATGCTGATCTGATCCTAAAGACCAGAAAAACATCTTTTTAGGACATGAAGATATTTCAACAATAAATAAGAGCAGAATTCTTGCTTGCAATTTGTAATATTTGGTAACATATTGCTTTAACACAAACACTCACCAGGATCTGGAGCATCAGGCTGAAGAGCAGGGAAGTCATTTTCAAACACAAAAGTGCTGTCATAGCTGGGATTTACCTGGAACACGATGAACACTCAAATGTAAGAAATGAGTCAGATCAGGGCTAACAACAGCCTTGTGGTACATAAAGTCATGTAGGTCCTTGTATCTGAAGAAGGGAGCATGATAAGCTTTGTTATTTCTGAAATTATAATTGAATATCATTTTAGAGACCTAAATATTCCTCTTAGGACCCTGGCAGTCAACATTTCAATTTGTTTTGAAACCAGTTCTTATTTAAGGTAGTCTTCCCACCTCTCCATTGGCTCTCGTGTTGCCGGGGCAGAGTGGGTTGCGGGGATCATATCTAGGTATGTGCTCCTCAGGTGGTTTTTCTACCTGCCCAGCCCAGGGTCTCTTCATGCGGTGGGCCGAAACCAGGACCCAGCTGTCCCTCAGCGGGTTGTAACGCAGATGCTGATGCTCTGGTAAAAATAGAACAGATAAAAAAAAAAAACATAAAGGAATGTCAAGGGCAGAATTTGTCATCTGTGTAATACCATTCTCAGTATCACAACTTCATCTTGATCAACTTCATCCCGCTTAAGTTCTCGCTTGTCATCTTGTTGGAAGCTATTTTCGGCCTCAAACATACCATACATATTCTGTTTTTAACTCCATAACCTGAGTGTTAATAGGAACACGGCTTTCAATTGTGTTCCTTTTAGCTCAGACGAGCTTTAATTTTCATGCTGGAAAATACATGCCATCATCACAATGCCTCCACCACCATGCTTCACTGTGTCTACTTTGGTTCCCCTCTGACCTGACAGAGTACGTTCTTGCATGAGTTTCCTGTTTCAACAACACAGCTTGTAGTGAACTTTTAAGGTGCTTTAATGTTTCAGATTAACTAGAAAGATTTCTAACCAATAGAGAAGACTCTTACCTTCCTGAAAACAGACTAAATGTAAGCGACGTTTTGATGAAACCCATCAAAACAGCCATTCAGGAGCAAAGCTGCTGATATCGCAACTTGCAGATATAAAAACAGGAACTCGAGTCACATGAAAGCCAAGCTGACTGTGTGTATATTGTGAAACCATGCTGCAGGCTGAAGCACTGTGATACGTTTGCTTCAGTGTTTTACCCGCTGAACAGGAAAAACAAACATTCACGTTGGGATAAACTGGAACAGCAGTCATATAGTCTGTTGTAAACAAAGTCCTCAGCATGATATCCTGAATGAATCGACTTCACAATGAATCGGTGCCAATGTCCGAACGTACCTTTGGGATCGAAAATGAGATCTTGATTCCCGCTCATGATCTTCCTTCTCTTTGATAACTCTCTGCTCGGTGTTGAACAAATGAATCATAAACTAGTTGTGAACTTTAGCATGGTCCCACAATGTCAACCACTATCCTTTTAGCCTATGGAGGAACAGAAACGGAGAAAAGGCGTTCCGTTCGCGACGGATCATGAAACACCTGAAACACCTGAGGGTTTCAGTAGAAATAAGCGACTAAAAGAGACTACAAGGACCGAACAGAGCAAACAATGTAGAAAATATAACATGCAGTTGTTATGTCCCTATTCTTAAAATATAAACATCGATTTAAAACCTTTTTTACGGTTTTGATTGTTTTCTGGCAACCTTGCAGCAGACCCGCCCACTATCTATGGGTCGGTCGTGGTTGAGCCGACTCAGTGTACCGACTCGTTTAAGTGAATGATTGGTCCGCAACAGACTGGATGCGTCTGTGTTAAACATCAATTATGATTGAAAATGTGACAAATGTGTACCTAATAACTTAAATTTGAGATGGTCATTATGATATTTACTATCAATCAAAGTTTAGCCAATATGTAGTTGATCAAGCCAATCAATACTTGTGTCCCTGAATCTTCTTCATCTTTGGCAACCCCTTCTATCATTACAGCATTATAACAGCAACCTTGTAAATTACAGCAAAAATAAATATGTGTCTTCTTCAAGTGGTGCTCTGGAGGGCATTCTAGTAAGTATGAGGTTAGATGAAATGCAGGGATTTGACCTATTTTAGTGAAATATAATCTGTATATTTCAATAAATATGCAAGTGCAGGCCAATTTCTATCTCATTCAGTTCCCAACTCCTCACTGGTACTGCGCTAAATAGCCTTTAGATCTTGTCTTATTATATCATAAAATAAAATAAAAAAAGCCAAAATCAATATAATCACAATAAAAGGCAATGGAAAGTCCAGATGTCCAGATGTGTTGGAACAATGATATGATATATGATATGATATGATATACTCTTATGGGTAAAGTTTCTCAATATCAGAAATCGTTTCAAGCAAGGAGCTGATCGAGAATTGAAAGTTCTCAGCCAGATGAACCGAATCCTCGAGAACAATAAGAAGTCCCATCATATTGCGCATGCGACATAATAAGATTTGTGATTGGCCGAGTCGCAATCTCTCGCGCTCACGTGACAAGGAAAAAGCAACCAGTTAGCAACCTGTCTGCACGCATGTAGTCTAACCTGCTGCACTCTGTTTGCCTGGGAGTTTTGTTTGTGACCATGTCTTTTACTAGAAGGTTTTGTAAACTGTTAGTGTTCTGTACGGTCATTGTTGTGGTTGTGCTGCTACTGCGGTACTGGATGGCCTCAAAGAAGTACGTTTTTAGTAATGAAGAGGTCGCTATGTTGGTCAAACAATATGCAGGTAAGTTGCCTTTTGAGTGCAAATGAAAGTTGAGTTCTGTTGCGTTTTATTTCGGTGAGTGGAACTGGACGTCCAAAGGCTCTAAATTGCATCTATTTTTGCTGGGACTCTTCAGGGCAGGACCATGAGCAAGCTTTCTCCAAAGTGGTGGTGGAACTTAGAAAGAGGTAACATTGCAATGTTTGATAATACTTCCTTATGTCACAGAGTGAATCTAGATTGTTAAATTGGGACATTTACCTTCAAATATCCCTCCGCTTTAAGTCTAATATCAGGCAAATTATACTTCCAGATTGCACTAAATGAAAGTGTTCCAAATCCTTAACAGAAACAAATTAATATCAGTTTTCGTCTACAAATTATATGACTCTTTCAGTATTGTACAGATGAGTTATTTATTTGTACTGTAAAGGTTAAGCATGTTTTTTATTGTCTATTTAAAACCAAAATGAGTTTTTAAAATGGCTCCTCTTTTTATCACCTATTTATGTTTCCAACATACCGTATAATAAATCACAAATTGTGCACATTATATTCTTGATTCCACATTATTTCACTGCTACAACTGTTTTCAGTAGGGTGATCACCATCCTATCTCTATGTTTTGAGGTTTGGTAAAAGGCTTTTACTCTGAGAGAAAATAGCCAAGAAATAATAATCAAACTTGGAAGAACAGGAAAATATTTTACTTGGTGATTGCTTTCGAAACCTGAGCATGCAAACATATTTTAATGCTGCAGGCTCCAAGTTGAGGACTAACATAAATCATTTGAAAATAATAGGCAGAATTAAAAAAAAGACCAAAAAGTAAGAATTGGAGACTGCACAGTAAGGGGCAAACACTGTGTTAGAAATACCTTATTCATATTCAAAGAGTTATGCAACTAAGTAATTAAAAAAAATATTTACATGTATATTTGTGCATATAAAAACTACAGAAGACCGTTTACAGTGATTGGATACTGTCCAAATAACAGCAGGGATGTAAACACTTGAACAAAATACTTTTACCATAAAATTGATAAATTTCTTCATCCATGTAACGTGATGCTGCTACCAGCATAATTAATTAAGATTGTGAGTTGAGGTGAATGTGTTTTTTTTCCACATCTGAGGGTGAAACAAATATACACACTTCACTTACATTTGTTAAACCAGATCTGAAAAAAAGTCAAGGGATATGAATAGTTTTGTGAGATTCTGTAGTTTATTTTACTATAGCATTTTTGTAAGGCCATGTGTGTGTAAACCAGGTATCCGGGTCACATCCTACCAGATGAGGACTTGCAGTGGGTGTTTGTGAATGCTGGAGGCTGGATGGGCTCCATGTGTCTCCTCCATGCCTCCTTCACAGAGTACTTGTTGCTGTTTGGTACTGCAGTGGACACTGGAGGACACTCGGGTAAGAAACCATGAGGTTACATTAATCTCCCTATTTTTCTTCTTTTTTTTTCTGAATTGTTGAGACTTTTCTAGTTTTCAAACGTTGCAGCTTCATTTTTTTGACGTTTCCCGTTTGAGTCAGGTCGATACTGGGCGGAGATCTCCGACACCATCATCTCAGGTACTTTCAGGCAGTGGAAGGAGGGGACCACCAAGAGTGAAGTGTATTATCCAGGTAACGAAGTGGGAGATTTAAATCCACATATCTGTAATGGATTTGTAGCGATAATAACTGTACAGGAGATCTCAAATATGTACACACCCATGATGAAATGTTTTTGCAATCTAATAAAATGAGCTCATTATAAATAGTTTTAAAGCTTTTTTTTCGAACTGCAATGACGCATATGTTCTGAAATTTAAAAAATCAGTGTAGAAGTGTGTAATGGACTGGCAAAACAAATGCTTAAGCTTTTGGGTCAATATTGTGGAAAAAGACATGCCAAGCATTGTTTGGTGGAAATCACTGTGAGGTTTATTTTATACCATCTACATCATATGAGAGTCAAAACCTCATGAAAAGGTCAAATTAAAACTTTTAATTTGGGGTTCTGTGTGGAGTCAAAGTTGGCAATATCAACATGATGACAACTTTGTCATGTCAAGATGGCTGTAACAGGGTTCTGTTTTGACTTAGGCAAACAAAAATAACTGGCCAAAGCTGGAGATCACTTTATTGAAATTTATTGCGCTTATCTTCAGGTGATCAAAGAGGAGAAGTGCAGAATATATACAAAGGACGTCCAAGACAGGTTAAAATCAGATAAACAGCAGTACCTTCAGTGCAAGAGTCCATCACCTTCAGTGTGACTTGTCAGGAGTCTAATCACAGACTGAGTCCTTGTGGAGAAGCCCTGATTTTAAAGCCACAGGTTCCGTCCACAGAAAGACCAACCAAGCAAAAACAGCCCTGCTTGAAAATAGAACCGGGAAAATGTTTGAAGCTGAAAATAACAGGTTAGGATGAATATGTTAACTGAAGCAACAACACCGTGTGTGCACCCACAGTGAACCGCATCAGTTTAATCTGTAACAAAAAGTAAATTAGCGATAAATTAGCGATTATATGTTTGTGTGTATGCATGTGCGGGTGTGCCCGCATGTTGAAACAGACTCATAACTAAGTCAATGACATAAAAGTTTTATACCAAGTACAAGGAATCCAAAACAGCAGTGTCTACTGAGCAACTATGTTCTTCAGCTAATTCCAAAACATTTATTTGTTGGTACTTGCTCTTCTGATTCCCATTTTATGTGGCTAAATGATCAGTTATTTAATCTTTTTCTACATCCATGCTGTATCCCTTCAGGTGACACTATTGTTCATGAAGTGGGCGAAGCCACGTCGGTCCAGTGGAGCGCTGGGACGTGGATGGTGGAGTACGGCCGAGGTTTCATCCCTTCCACGCTTGGCTTTGCTCTGGCAGACACCCTTTTCAGCACCCAGGACTTTGTTACCATGTACTACACCATCCTTGTTTACCTAAAGGCTCTGATGCTGGAGGCCGGCACACTACTTACAGAGGCTGGAATCTTCTAAGCAACGGAAGATGATCACATACTTCCAGATTGACTTGGGACATCAAAACGCTTTCTGCAGTTTAAATCTGATGAGGAGGAGTTTTTATGCAGAACGTTCTCGGGAGCAAAACTGTGAGATGTAATTAATGACAATCCAGTTTACATACTCTTTAAAATCCTGTTGAACTTATAAATTAACTTCACAAACACAGTTACACTACATCAGATCTTGGAAATCTGTAAAATGGTTGTCACCCCATGCTAAATAATTCCCTGACAGGTCAGACTGCTCAGGTGTGGCAGGTATCTGGATGTCTGGTTTATTGATTTTGAGGCCTTACAGTTTTTGATGCCAAATTTTAGATTATTTGTAATTCATTGTCCAAAACATCCTGAAATCCACAAATTCAAAATATACTGACACAATTAAACAGGAAAACAAAAAATAATCATATTGCTGCTAAGATACCAGTAGCAATCTTGTCATCTACAGTACAATATTTTCCCACATAAACTTGAGCAAAAGGACACAATACTTTCATAATTCAAAAACCAGTTGGGCAAAATGTTGTCGCACTGATCTTCCTGGAATTGTCAAGCTTATCCAGCTGATATTTGCTAGGATATCGAGCTTTAGTTTCAACACTATGACTGTCTGCTTTTCGTGATCATAAATATTTTCAAATTCTTCAACTTGTCATTTTTTGAAAGAGCAGGGAAAAGCGGACATTTTTTCAGGCGACTGATCATCTGTGTGCAGTAACAGGTGGGAGATGGGCAGGACTGGTTTTCCCCATGTGCCAAAAGAACATGGGGAAAACCTTGTTCCCCATGATCAGAATCCTGATCATTCTGGAAGTTTTACATCAAAGGACCATTAAACTGCAGGAATGGTAACATCAATTTTAGCTGATTTCAAAACATCTGTCTTTAGAAACATAAATATACCATGTCACCAGTGACCAGCCCACATAAACATGTATAAATGTCTTGTTTCTATGCACGTTGATGTTCTATGGAGGATCATGGCAACAATCATCCACAGAAACCAGCACCAGGGACGAAAAAATAATTTTTCTCTTTCTGAAAGCAATTTTTTATCAGACTTGATTCTTTCATTTGTATCTGGCCTTCTTGAAAATATTTAAAATCTAGCAAACTATTGTAACTATTTTTGTTCAAACTGTTTGCAAAATAAAAATGCAATTTTCACACTACATTTTTTTAATTACAATGGTAAAAATGTTTTGTTTTTTGTTTTTTTGTCTTCAACAGCAATGTTCAGTTTTCTATGTCCCCTCATGTTCTTGAAGTCTGTCAAATAGTTCATCTGGCAATTTTTAGTTAAACTATTTGTAAGTATGTGCAGGTCGTATCTGTCCCAGCAAACTTTGCACTGTAATCCTGTGCTATTACTGTTTCATTTTTCTACTGAATGTTTTTTAAAAAAAAACATGTAAAACCTTTAGGACTGTAACATTCTGAAGACGATAAGATAAAATTGCAAAGCTCTGGTGTTATTTTGCATCACATCTTTAAAAAAATAAACTTGTGTTGTTTTAAAGTTGAACTATGACTGTATCTGCAGCTGGATTTGTCAACTCTGAGAAACCAGGCTGAATTTATAACCCATCCAAACACTTAATAAAGAACCATTGACGGTACTGTGCTGAATCATTTTACATACATTAACATGTTAACATATTGCTGTACCACTATATTATGTGCAGTTTGCTGATTAAACATTAACCCTCATGGCAGAGGAATAAATCTATAAATTCTGAGGACAGTCAGTGCTATATTTTTTTATGAAATCACCTCTATATAAAAAGTAATCGTAGTGTATGACTGTTACATATATCTTTTCTTCTTTCATTTCCAGTTTAGCAAACTGAGTTCAACTGTGACCTCTCATTGGTTTGAAGAATTTTCTTTGAAATTATAAAATATTTGCAGTAAGAAAGGCCCTGGCTCACCATATGTAGATAGAGGCTAATGTATAGAAGCACCTCATTCCAAATCACCTTTCTGCTTAGTCCTTGTTTCATTCAAAAAAATATACATGGCAAATAATTTTTCTTAAAAAGTAAGTGTACACCATCTTAGTAACAGACTGACAAGATTCATTTCTTTTTCTCTATCTTTAATAGTTACAACTTGGATAAAGTAATTTGAAATTATTTGTGTTAGTAATAAAATGTTCTTGTGTTTTTATAGAGCAAAATAATACATTTTACTGATGAGCTTGAATTGCAAATTACTTCCCGGCGTCTTTTTTGGAAACCTTTGCGGACTTTGGCGACGACAGATGACGTCGCAAATTGCTTAATAATGGTTTTGGTTTCTATGACGTCAACTCAACGTGTGACCACTACAGAGTCTGATAACTAGTATCACTATCACTGTGTTTACGATGGAGCTTTCTTATCAATCCATGAAAATTGCCCACGAAGCTCGGGAGGCTGTGAGTTGATATTCTGCTTTTGTTTGTTGTAGCGTCAGGAAGACAACACGGAGAACATCCTTTAGCTAAAACATCTTTTAGCTAGCTACATAGCAGTAACACTTATAAACTTAGGGTGGGGTAACACGCACAAAAGTCTGAAATTACAGTTTATTTTATTGGCTAAGTATTTGGATATAGGTATGCATTTACAGATGCATGAAAAACTAAACATTTTAAAGTTTGGCAGGTAGCCGTTAAGCTAATTATAAAAGCCACATAAAACGGCGTTGTCTGGTTGCCAAGATACCGTGAAGCATAGTTTTGGTTATTTGTCTCCCCCTGCTGGCAATGTAGCGCTCCCTATTTATTTGCAAATTTGAATAAAGTCAATAGTTTAGCTGTGTTGGGTGAATTTATTTTGAGTATGTTATATATTGAAATATAGCATTAAACATATGTTATATATGTGTGTGTAGAAGGCTGGAAATGTCATAATCTAAACAAAATAACCTAAATAATTGCCAAGATGTGAATTTAAATAAAATTATAGCCGTACTATAAGAGGTAGGCTGATGCTGAAATGAAGCAAATCACATAAAATACATCATGAAATATCACACATACTTTTAACGTGCACAAACAATGTACAATATATAATAATGTATGTACATACATACATTATTCCTATATGTATGTATGGCTGAATACATATAGGAATATTTATTTAAATAAAATTCAAAGTATTTGATTTTCATCAATTAATTTGTAATTATTAGTTTAAAGATTTAAAAATGTAGATAATGATTCATACATTTATTTATCAAACATACTCTTTTTTTTATTATTTATTTTTATCACATATCTAAATATTTACCTTCTGAGGTATTGCATGGTTGCACCTTTTTCCCATCCTATGCCTAGGTTCTGGTTCTTGTCTTTCTTTTACATTGAAAATATTAAGCATATTGAATGAGTAGCTAAGTCATAATGGACTAAAGCAATGTTATCTATGAATGATCTTTGTTTTTCTCCATGAAAAACAATTTTAATGACACATATTGCAATTATGGCGACTGGAGTCCTGTATCCCTGATCCTGCTCATTGTTGCTCTCTTGCAGGATAAGCTGAGGACCGAGATGAGGAAGAAGAGCATTCTTGTTCTCATTTATCAACATTTACTTGGGCAAGGGTCAGTATGTTTTTTGTTGTCATAATTACAGATTTGAAGTTTACAGAAACTCTGATGAAATTAAAAAATTTTTTAGTGATTTTCAATTTGAAATCTAAGATGTGCATTGGTATTTGCCCACCAGATATGCATCTGCAGCACTAACTTTGGATCAGGAGACAAATGGAGGTGTAAAAAAATTTGAGGTTTGTGACAACGTCGATCTGGAGATAGTGCTCATGGAGTACGAGAATTATCACTATGTCAAATTCCAGAAGTATCCCAAACTCATCAGGAAAATAGAACCAGGTGAAAGAAGGCCTCTGTGTGCTGAAGTTACCGTTGACACACATTGCGATTAATAAACTGTTAGATTGCTTCAGCATTAACGCTTTTTTTCCTAATGTGTTTGTTTTTGTGTAAAGGTGAAAACAGTCAGACAAAATGTGCTGTTAAAAAGTGAGCCACCACATCTCTTGAAAACTCATCATTATAAATTCAAGACACAAATGTTTAAATTGTCTTCATGTCCTAACAAGTTAAAATGTCTATTTTGGTCACAGGAGACAGAAACCTCTTCCCAAAATCACCTCATCTTCCTCCCCCCAAACTGGAAATTCAGCCAAGAAAACAACTGCTAATGTAAAAGCATAGCACACTTTACTCAAACAACTCAGATAATTAAATAAATAGATAACAAATAACTTATGTAAAATCTTTCATAGGAAAATAGCACCCCTGTAACACCAGAGTCATTGGATTTAGGGTTCAACACATTCTCCATCAAAAGTGGGCCTGCTGGCGAAGCTGCTTCAAGCAAAAAGGTAAAGAGGAAGTCATAACTCAAAGGATTCTTCAGGGATTGACAATACATCAGCTTTGTTGTTGACATACTTTTCATTTTAAAATTTAAGAGGGCTGATTCAGGCAGAATTTGTTGTGTCATAGTAAACATGAAATAAATATCTTATATCTTATCTGAATCAGAGAATTAGTTTTGAGGCCAGTCAACTTTAACAACACATTCAGCCTTTCTGATGAATGTTTGAAAATTCCCAGGTGAAATTCTGCCAATAAAATGCTGTTTTACATAGGATTTTATGAAAGAATTCATAAATGTTCTACCAGTATTCATTAAAATTTATATTGCCTTTGTCATCAGATGGGTGATGGGAAAGGATCAATCCATGATGTTTTCAACGGGTCAGTTATCAACTCAGACCATATGGTAATTACACACCACAGAAAAACCAAAGTAAAAGTCAGTCACATCACCATAAAACTGCAGTTTAATTTTGGTTATATACTGTATAATGTGTTTATAAGGAAATGCAGCTATATGTTTTTTTTTTTTTATGTTGCAGGAGCGGTTGCTGAAGCCCCTCAGTGGCTTTTCTGGGATTAGTGGTGAGATGAGGGAACTTGCTGCAATCATCAGTGAGGTGCAAAAACACAGATACAGAGTCAAAATTATACATACAGTCTCAGATACATACACAGATTCCACTAATATCTACAGAAGTGCTCCACTTTCCATCTGGTTTACACACATTCTTTAGCCATTAACAAGCTGCTGTCATCACTGGCCAAGTTTTTGCAAACAAACAAGAAATTTGACTTTGGTTCCACTTTGCTCTAAATATTAATGTATTTTAAATATAAATACATGTAAAAAAAAAAAAACAATGAATATCACCAAGCTCTACCATTTCACCTGTAAAAGGTCAAATACCCAGACGGTATTATCCCAGAACCGCGTCCATAGAAGTGAAGAGTTTGTGGTTTATCTTCAACTTGCTAGTGAATATTTATCAAGATATTAGTGGGAGTATATGTACAGTAAGTATTTGAACATGTATATTCACCAAGTGGCTTAGTAAAATCTAAAATAAAGTTAAGCATGTGTACCTAATTCTTTGTCATAATAATCACATTTTGCAATAACATATAAAAATACATCTTACAAATTGGAATACTGTGAAAAAGTTACACATTTTTTGTCATTCATTTAAATGATCCATATATTTTATGGACCTGTAAACTGTTAAATGCAGTAGCTTATGTAAATGAATGGTTCTGATTCTGTCCACCAGAGAGCAGTAAAGAGCTTTGCTGTAAATTGACGGATCTGCTGTATTAATGAAGGCCTACTGTTCTATCTATATTACTTAAATGATGCTTCATCTTAAAGGACACCTACTTACCCAAACCTAATTGACCCTCGGTGTCTTCTTCCTAATGCATCTCTCTGTGTATGTGTTCACCCCTAAAGGACATCTATTTGCACAGCCCAAATGTGAGGTGGGAGGACATCATTGGTCTGGAGGATGCCAAGCGATTAGTCAAAGAGGCCGTCGTTTATCCTATTAAGGTGAGGCCGGCACACACCCGCGCCTGGTATTTCGATTTTGAATACATCTCCTTTAGGGGCTTAAAGAGAAGGAGGCCATCGGGGTCAGGTCGCTCTATTAGACTGACATTAAATCTATATCTGGAATCTTATGGCAACACATATACACAGATGGATAGACAGAGAGGGAGGCGGGAATGCACAAACACCGAAGGTCATGTAAAAATTTGCCATAGCCACGCACGTTCACACAATTTTGCCGCTGCGTATAGATAACCGCCGCACACACATTTTTATCATCATCATACAGACCTTTCTCGTGACAACAAATCAGGCTGTCTGCATCCTCTTGACATTTCCAGATGAAGATGAGGACTGATGTGTCCATCTTCTTACATATACAGTGCTGGACTCTTTTATTGAATAAAACCACCTCTCTGTTGCCCCTAACTTCTGTCTCCATTATTATTCATTCTCAGTCTTATAAGGTCAGGGGGATTTGATTTGAGCCTCTTCACCACCTAAAATTCAGACTAATTTGCACCCCGTGGCATTTGGAGCCCTGACTCAGCTTTTCATCTGGCTCAACAGCTTCACTTGCACATAGCTCAGCTTCTAATGGGTTTGCCAAAACGGTGTAGTTAGACAGAATAAATATTGAACAATTGATTGATAGAAGACTTGTGCAGTATTATTCATAGCTTGCTCATACTTACATTAATCACCTTACCCACTTTCGATTCTTGCTTTCTTTAATTCCTCCTCTTCACAGTACCCTCAGCTGTTTACTGGCATCTTATCTCCATGGAAGGGCTTGCTGCTTTATGGTCCCCCAGGTAACACACTCCTACACAGTTTTTATGTCAAAATCCCACTCTGTTCCAAACTCACTTTTCCAAAGGTCTCAGTGGCTTGTTAGTTAATATTACAATATGCATACAAAATTTCACTATAAACGCAAGGTACATACAACATCTCTTAAGTGCCAAGCCTACCTCTAGCTTGCAAAGACCAGTCTGTAAAGAAAAGGACAATGGACAAACTTCTAGACAATAGATGGATGAACAGGTGGATTGTTTGGTCAATAGATCAGAAGATGGACAAAAGGATTAGAGAATAGATGGATGAATTGTTGTGTTGATGGATGTATATATGAATGAGATAGGGTCTGAAATATGGAAGTACATTTTTTTTCTTTCTTTTTATGTCCTTACTTATTCAAACCTGGAAAATAAGGTTTTCTCATCTTCCATACTTTTCCAGAGCTGTTAGGAACCTTATTTTATTATTTTTTCATCCACCATTATGGACTTGATTCAAAACCTCATTGCCATGTCCCTTGTACACAAAGGCACAGGTAAAACTATGCTGGCCAAGGCTGTGGCTACAGAGTGTAAGACGACCTTCTTCAACATCTCAGCCTCTACCATCGTCAGCAAATGGAGAGGCGACTCTGAGAAACTCGTCCGGGTAGGTTGTCACTCAGTATGCATCTCAATGAATTTGAATTTCATCCAGACATTAATTTGATGTAGTTCTATTTAAAAAGAAATGCTTATGTCTGTAATAAAAAAAAAAAAAAAACATGCCAACTTTCTAACAAGATGCTGAGATAAAGCCTTGTTAATAGTCAGCCTTTTGAGGTTTAACCTTCTTGATTTTCTTGAGAGTTTACTGGTTAACTGTTTTCTCTGGATTCACAAATCATCAAAATGAACAAATAAATAAATAAAAGATGTATTTGATAATGTAAAAAGATGACTCCTTTTTACATTATTCAAATGAATTCACTTTTTTATGTATTGAGATGTACATGACACACCAAACATAAGCTGAACCATATTATTTACACCAAGGGTAAACACATTTTCTGTGCTGCAGGTTCTTTTTGAGCTTGCAAGGTACCATGCCCCATCCACCATCTTCCTGGATGAGCTGGAGTCAGTGATGGGCCAAAGAGGAACCACTTCAACGTGAGCTTTGCCACTATAAGTCATCAACTCTGCTGCTATTGGTTTAGGACTGAAAACACTCCCATGACCGAGCAATAGAGATCAGTTCAACGGAAACCAGATGTCTGTGTCCAGGAACGAGCATGAGGGGAGTCGGCGGCTGAAGACGGAGCTGTTGATTCAGATGGACGGGCTTGCAACATCAGAAGACCTCGTGTTTGTCCTCGCTGCTTCCAACCTGCCTTGGTAAAACCACAATATACATTCAGCCAGCTCAGACATAACGTTGGGGAGAAGTTTAAAGCACTGTTTGGTTATATTTTTCTTTCATTTTCGCAACTCTGCACTATTTTATGTTGGACTATCTCATAAAATCCATACAAAATAAAGTCTTAGATTGTAACATTATAAAATATGAACGTTTGCAACATTTGAGATGTTTGAGATTTTTATTCCTACGCATTTGTGACAAAAGCTGTTGTTTCAGGGAGCTGGACCACGGGATGCTCAGGAGGTTAGAGAAGAGGATTCTAGTAGGTCTTCCCTCGTCACCTGCTCGCCAAGCCATGATTTCTCATTGGCTGCCTCCTCTCAGCTTCCTTGGCGTGGTGAAGCTACAGACTAGCTTAGACTACAAAATGCTGGCAGAGGTTTGTCATAGTCAATATCAGCAACATAAATATGATTTTTCATATTTTAAAATAGATTTTGGAATTATATTTTGTCTTGCATTCATTTCTGTTACTTCTGTAAAGTGAATGTTTGTGTGCTGACACAGGAGACAGAAGGATACTCTGGCTGTGACATCAAATTAACATGCAAGGAAGCTGCCATGAGACCAGTTCGCAAGATCTTTGATGCTCTGGAGTCGCATCATAATGGTAAATTTAAAAAGAAAAAAAAACACATTTGTGACTGGAGATCACCTACAACACTTCAGGCTCTTCTGTGATTCTCCTCCACAGGAGACATGAACATGCCCGTCATTGAGCTGGGAACTGTAACAACAGAGGACTTCATGGAGGTTCTAGTGTACACTAAACCGTCGACCCAAAACCTGATGAACAGATACACAATCTGGGAGAAAAAGCACAAGTCAGTTTGATGTCCAGGCTGAAAATATTAATCCAAACTGTTTTTTTGTACTTTTTTTCCATCAGTTGGATATTTTTTCATTGACACTCTGTAATTACTTTTGCACAGACACTGAGAGTCACAGATGCATATTGCTTTTCACAGCCAACATTATTGTTTTTCGAGATGTTTTTCACAGTGCATATGCTTACATTTACGATATTTATTTTAAACAGCTTGATAGTGCAAAATGTTTCATTCTCTTAGCAGTCCATTAGAGCTTATAGCAGATTCTGTAGGATGTGTTCGACGGCATCAGGGAAACTGTCGCATGTCAGGTAAGGAGGTGGGTCAATTTTACTTTCATCTCCATCTCTGTATTTACCTGCAGTGTGAGAAGATGGAATATTATCAGAAAAACAGAAAAAAAAGTTTAAAAATTGTCTATTGTATCCAGAGCTCCCCCTTCTATGTTTGCTCTGTTCACAGCAAGCCGTGTTTCAAGCTGCTTTGAGCTTTGTTTCAACTTCATGTTGCTTGTTCGCCTCTTAAAAACTGAATATATGAGTAAATATGTTAAAGTTAATTTAAAGTTAGTGGTTGTAACAAGAATCATTCCAAGGGGTATGAATAATCAGGAGGACTGAACTCACCTGTTCTAACAAGAATACCCAGCATTCCTACATTCTGAGCCCCACCTACATCATCTCTCGCATCCTGCAGAAAAGGAGACACGAGGGTCACAACTGTGTTGTGCAAGTGGCTTCCAATATGTTTCAATGATATCAGTTTTTACCTAAACTTAATAGATGTTTAAAATATTTTGAATGGTATTACTGAAATGTAGGTGAAAAAAAAATTCCATATGAATCCCATTAAGAGCTTTATGACCATCAAAAATTACATTGAACTTATTTTTGATGTACATGATTATCAGTAACACAGATAGAAATATACTTACATCTCCTATCATGACGGCTTCACTGGGGCTACATCCTAAATCAGACAAGGCCTATTTAGGGGAAATATAAGCAGAATTTCAGATTTCTAAGTTCACTAAGAATTGTAGATAGATAGATTCATGAGTCAAAAGCTAAATTAGCTGATGGATAATAGCATGCAAAGATTGAAGGGCAGACTTCAAACAAATACTCTTTCAGATATATATCATGTAGAGAATTTCCAAAATTAACCAAATCTGAAAATATAACATTATTAGCTGTATTAACCCCCTATATGTACTTATAAAAATGTTTACCTGTATGAAAAACGTCTTTTCGGGCTTTCCCACCACTGTAGCTTTACAATCTGCGGCATACTCCAAGCCTGTCACAAAGGGTCCGGGGCCAAGGGCCAAGCCGTCCTTACGTTTGTAGTAACGAGCCTTATGAATGGCAATAAGAGGAGCTCCATCCAAAATCATTCTGGAAAGAAACATACATGACAAATATGTATAAAACAGTTTTGAAAATAGACGTCAAGATGTGTCAACATATTGACAATTTCTTGATCTGCACGGAGTGTTAATTGACTTCGGTTTTAAAATGTCATATCTTCAAAAAAAAAAAAGCCTGCACTGAGGTACATTAGAATCTGTTTTTGAAATCATCAAGAAGTAGATCTACAATTTCCTCACCTGAAAGCCTGATTGAGAGTCTGGTAGTTGAAATGATCAGGAGCGAGTCCAATGACGACGGCATTTGGTTCCGAAGTGTCGATACCTGCAGACAGAAGGACAGCAGTCTGGAGTAATCTCTATCAGCTCACCTATCAGTTTGTTCAAACTGATATGGACGGATGAGGACCACAACTTTATAAAGTGGAGATGAATTTGTAACAGAATTTTTTCTACGGTACCAGTGAAGTCTTCTAGTGCGCTGTCCTCCACCAGCAGCAGCGGCTTGTGTTGTTTTTGTTCCAACAAACTCCTTGCAGCACTCAGAGACGTGAAGATTTCTTTCTCCTGCACGTTCAGAGAACAAAAGTGCTCCAGATTCACTTTATGTAATGATTTTGAACACTTGTCTTTAAGCAGACTGGACCTTTACAAGGTATTCTACTAAATAAAAACGGTGACATTTATTAATGAAATAGATTTGCTACCTTTAGGAGGTGTTTCAATAACATTCAAGTTTATTGAGATGAACTGATATTTCTTAACTTTCTAAAACTGCACTTTATTACCCACAAACAACGTCTGATATATCACCTGGAGATCAAAGTTAAGTCGTTGCAGTCGCTCCAGTAAGTTCCTCTTACTTTCCTTTGTTGTGTTGGTCACAAACTTCACAGCTACTGATGCCTGCCGTAACCTGGCAGCCCCAGAACAAGAAAAAAAGCCACAATCAAAAGCACATTTAAAAGTTTGCCTTTGTAAAGTGTAAGTAGAGACTTTTCTTTTGGTTTGTGGCGTGTCTCCTACCGGTTGAGGGCGTCCTGCGCCCCGGGCACTGCAGTGTCCTCTACGTGCAGAGTCCCACTGAGGTCTATGAGGACAGCCTTCAGAGCCCGTCGCCCTGCCATGCTGCAGGTCTGAAAAGGAAAAATATAATGTCTGAGATGAGTGCTTCAGCAGAATAATTACATATTTTTGTTATATTGTCTTCTTTTGTGCAAATCCAAAACATTTACAGGGAATGTGGAAATCATTCCCTGTCTTTTACTGTTTTTAAAACAGTAAAAGACAATCCAATATAGCCACAAAACAGAGGTTTGAACATTTTAGATAACACATAAGAGCAGATTACATTTTTTTTGTCATAATCATAATTCTCATCGGTAATGGCAGAATTTATCAGATTATAGAGTTGATCAAAACCCACATTGGCACAAACTGAGAGGATTACTGAACCGGTTCATGTGTGGGGCTCGTGCCTGGATTCCAGATTTGGGTTTTTTTGGTGTTTGAATTTAAACTGTGATCCGTTATTATTTAGACATGTTTGGATTTCTGTCATGTAGTTATCAATTTGATGCTGCAATTAATGCTCTTAATACCTAACCAAAGACCACACGCAGAGATGCTTGATAAGGCCCGGCCACTAAAATCTGTATTTATCTCAACTGATCAACTGAACTGTCATGGAAATGCCAAGCTGACGATAGGTTTATTGTTTGTGTGTATGTGTGGGTGTGTTTGTGCAGTTTCACTGAAAAAAATAATGTTTCTTTCTTATTCTGTTTGCAATATTGTACTCTTATGTACAATAAATCTTATGTATTTTTGTACTTTTTTATGTTTGTAAAAAAAAAACATGAAGTAGGTTTAATTTTTGGATATTTAATTAAATCAGAAGCTTAATAATAAACAGAATCACAGTTGTAAAGGTAAATCTTATAACCCCTTGAGGTTTTTTTTTCTCCTGATTCCAGAATATTTGCAGACATTTAGTTTATTGTAAAAGTATTTACGTGTCTTGACCTTTTTAAAAGCTTTCATCATCCAACCACAAACATCCATGTGCTCTGCTGGAATTGTACATAGCAGACCAATACACAGCAATGTTTTGATCTATACTAAGTTTATGCTCATGCAAAGACGTTTAAACACTGGGTTAATTTAAATTACAAATGTAAATGTATCTGTTTAGATATGTCTTTAATTAATAACTAATTATTATTAATTTAAAATGTCAAGGATTTTTCTTTGAACTGCCTTTTAGTTGAAATGTACTATTTAAAAAAAAGTCTTGAATCTTGAGTTTCTACACCTGTCTGTTGTGTTCTTTCACTTTTATGATGCTCCTTTCTTTCGCTAATATTGTCCAACAAACATCTGAGTCCATCACAGAATACATGCATAATTTGCAAACTTTGATAAAGTGACATCTGAGGAGAATTGGCAATACTGGTTTTATTTTTTACTAGAAGAGCAAACAAGTCTGAATATATGTGAATATCACACTTTTCTTATTTCTATTTGTAAAAAAATAAAAAAGGCATTGTACCACTACACCACTACTTTATAAGTTGTTGCATCACGTACAATCCTAACTGTAGTAATGGGACAAAATATGGTAAAAGTTTGGCCCATACAAATCTGAACACACTGCATGTGTTCAAATCCCATTCCAAGAGGGAAATTTACTGAAAATGGTCTAATAAAAGGAACAAGTCCAAGCTTGAGTTATTTTAAACAAATTAAAAAGAAAAAGACTGCATAGTTTAGGAGATATAGCTCTGCAGAGTTTCTAGAATGTTGAGGAATGACTGGTTTCATGTTTCTGTTTAGTTTAAATTTGTCACAGCAACTATTGAAATAATATAGTGCATATGACGAACGCAGAACTTAAGTACCCAACTCTTGCCAGATCTCCACAGTAAGATGTGAAGAAATTAATAATAAAAGAGTCTCTTATTCTGTCTTCAACTCCTGTTTGTGTCTTCTACCTACACGAAAAACATGGTGCTGGTTTACTTGCAGAGGTAGGAGATTTGTATGGTAGTGACTGAAATCCTTGATATAAATTTCACCACACAATGCTTCACTTTTAATAAATCAAGAAGTCCAAAAACTGACAGCACAAGCTTAGATGGCAAAAAGGCACACAAAAGCAATCTTAACCTTACTGCAGCAGCGGTACTTCTTCCTGTTGACGTCTCTTCTTTTTCGGCTATTTTGCTATTTAGTGCTCTCTGCTGCCCCCTACAAATGAGATGTCGCTTCCTCCGGTAGAATTATTTCAGATTTTTTACATTATGCAGCTTGCTAAACTGAAAACTATTTTGCACGTCACTCACATTTTATTACAACTGCTTCAATTTTGATATTGTATTATTATTATTATTTTTTCTTTCAAATACAGAGCTTTTAATCAGTTAAGAGGGTTAGTCTTAACCACATAATCACCCAGAGGAATAATAAAGAACATATGTGCTCCATCAAACTAACAACCAACAGATGTATCGCATTAGTAGGTCTTTTAGATTTAACATAGATGGGTATTATCAGAGTGATAAAAATATTCCCTGCATGCCAGACAGTACTGATCCTCTTTTTGTCTTACATCCAGAGTGAATAACAGTTGTTTTCAACATTTACTTCATAGTTTTTTGTGTTTTATATTAATTTCTGTAAACAGGATTCCAGGAACCTTATCGAACATTAATTTGTTATGGAAAAATATACAAAAAGAAATGTGTTTATATTTAGTGTACTGTTTTGCTTCTGATTTATTGACCCCCACCTGTTCTTTTTTCCACTGCATTAATCATTTCTCTGATCAGTTAGCAATTAGTAGTGTTTCCCTTTAATTTATTTGACAAAAATTTCCACTTGTTTTAAGTTTAAACCATTTTATTAAACAGAACAGAGACTGCAAAAAAAACAAACATCTAAATCTCTGAAAGCTGCCACTCATTCTGTGATCGCTTACAGCTTTCCCCCTGCTAAACCTGTACTAATCACATATCAAAGTGGCTTTAATGTAGCAATCCCCCTTAAACATATGTTTCTAATTCCAGCAGGCCATCTCCCAATAAATCCTTTAAATTTAGGTACAAAACTAACATGAAAAACAGATATTTTTTGTAACATAGATTGAAGTATTACATTTCATAACAAGTCGGGAGAAATAATAAGACAGTGGGCCATAGAAAATGTACAAACATGTAGTGTCCCACATATATTATTGGAGTTGAAAAGGTAAACATTAGAATCTCTTAAACTTACTGAGCACTTTCTGAGGAAGCTGAAACAAACATCACTTCCAAATAGCATCTTCACATTTCATATTTCTGGTTTATGAGTGTGCTGACATGAGTATAATTGAGGAAAGTCCAAGCCACCTGTCTTCTTCAAAGCTTTCTATTGAAATCAGATAAAATACTTAAATGTTGTTAAGATCGGTGTGTAAACAGCACATTCGTTTTTGTTTAGTTAAAAAAAAATCTTAGATGATTAAAACTCCTGACATTTTACACAACAGTGAAATAACTGAATGAAAGACTTGAACTGTTAATCAAAACTAAAGAACATTACTTTGAATAGATAGCAACAGTAATTTTTATTCCCTTGGTGTGGGAAGATTTTTTTAAGCACCAGTTATAGCTTTGACAAAACATACGGCAAGTGAGGAAGCGTTCTCCAATTGTTTTGGACTAGGTGATGGTTTGAATCCTCTTTTCTTTGATGGAGATTTTTTGCAGCCCATTTCTTTTCCACTCTTCTGTTGAAAGACAGCAGAAATCCTTGAAGAATGTGCAAATTGTTCAGTGTGTGAGGTTGTATTTTTGCAGCCATTCCTGGTAACCTGTGCAAACTTGTTACACATAAGTGCTTGGTTCTCAACCAAATAGTAACAACAGGACGATGCACGCCGAGTTCACAATTATCAGTGGCACTGTAAAAAAAAAAAGAGAGAGAGAAAAAAATGAGAACGTGATTAATCTTACATCACTGCAAGTCATTAGCTTATATCTAATTGAAGCTGAGTAACAAACTTCAGCTCATAAGAGTTTTTACTTTTTTTACTTCACACACAGGCATTTCAATCAGTGTTCTCTGTGATATAATTTTGACAGTAGGACATATAAGGACAATAAAGCAAAACTTCACCAATACAAAATGAAATAAAAATGTCAAAATTAATTGTTTTCTCAGATTAGTCATTTACATGAACATTGTAGTAGCTACAACTAATTTTGCAACCAAAACAAGCCCAACTGCCAATTACATAGACACAATGTTCAATGGACATGTAAAGCATAGTGAATGCAAAAACAGGAAAATACTTTGGCACATCTGGAACTCCATATACTTCAACCAAAGGTGGAGCTGGATATTATAGTAGTCCTAACTTTTTGCTTTAAAAATAAAACATATATATTTGCTGCACTATATATTTTTTATAAGTAAAACCTTATTTTCTTTTCGTCTTTAAGTGTTGGTAACTGCAATTAATTAACTTTTTTTTCCAAAGTCTGATAGTAATAAAACATATTATTACCCATTTCTTTTGAATAGATTACATATTTCCGAAGCTTTCCTAACTGCTGAGATGCCCTTATTTTGTATTGACCTCAGATGTTTGCTTCACGCTGCTGACGTCTCACCTCTCATAACGGTCCGAACTGAACGAATGAGGTTCAGTATCTGAGCTTTGACTCCTGGCTCATCCCCAAAGCCTCCAACTCCCTGATCGACACCCCAACCGACTGCAAACACACACAGGCAGAAAGAGTACAAGTCAGGAAACAGAATTACCGGGAAGCAAATCAATAGGCAAAGCCAGATTCCAAATGTTAGAATTCCAGCTCATTCATTTATTTACATGACCACCAGACTGCTAGCATACACTAACAAGTGTATTAGCTTTACGACAAGCCGCTACTTACTTTTGCTGAGAAACCTCTCTTCGTGTAACACGGCGATAGCATTGGTGCACAGAATAGCAGTCTGGATGAGTGTGTACAGAGTAAACGCCATGCTGGCAAAAGATGTTTTTATCTCCTCCCTCTTTGCTGTCGTCGTCCTCCACAACCAGAAGAATGACAGCCGTAAAGCAGCAGCGAACGTCGTGGAAATGGCGCGAGTTGTAGTTCAATGTCTTGCTATAGTGCCGTTAGAAAGTGATTGTGTTCAATCAATAACCGGTTTATCTCATTCCTTCTGCCAAGACATTACTGATTTGAGCCTGAATTTAACCAAAAACCTTTAGATAGTTGAGACTTCAACATGATCAGGTTTTCCAACAAAATAATCCCAAACACTTTGCAAACTGCTTATAAAACTAAAATGTGGGTCAACATTGAAATTATTAATCCAACTTCAGCTTTACTGAAAATTTATGAACCAAATTAAAAAAGTAAAAATAATATTGAAGTTCTCCAGTAAGATTAAGAATCGTGTCAAGAGGTGGTTTTTGACAACAAAACTGTTCTGATGGGTCTTCCCAGAAAACTGTTCACTGAGCTTCCAGCTAATAAGATGGACACTGTTGTTCGTAATTGATTTTGTTGGTCATGGAGATTAGATGTCTTCATAAATTGCAAAAATAAGTTCTTAACTTTTTTTAATTGCAAATTTCACAATTCAACAGTTTCTTTTTTTGTATAGACATTTTTTTTTATTTACACATAGTAGAGAAACTACAGGAACATTTTGAAATACATCTGCATTAACAGGTTATAATAAGAACATATCAGTAGATGACAATTGCATCCATTCATTCTATAAACCAGGTGGGGGAGATGTCATTTGTACTTTTTTTTACATACACTTAAACACACCATCTTAATAACCATTGTTATTGAGTCTCTTACAACTTCTTTAAAATCTATAATAATATTTTCACAACAGGGGTCTCAGGATTTTATTTTCAAATTATAAATAAAACATAAAAAGACTGTAAGATTCGATACTCTCATGTGTGATAATTTATACAGTTAGGTGAAGTAATTTACAAATAGATACACAACAAGAATGAACTGCAGTCTTCTCCTTGCTGGCCACACATTAAGCAGGTGCTTGGAAAGGGCCTTACAATTGCCTGATCAGCATCTATTAGCTGATGGTAACATAATACTTTCACTTAAAGTTCTTGTGGTGGTTCTAATTGGTGCCTTTCAGCTGCTATAAACTCATAGAGAATAAATATGACAGTGAATGAAATACATTTTTAGGGTAATTTTGCATGTATAAATAAAATATGTACCAACAGATGTAATACATTGAATATTGACCAGGGAGTTCCAGCTGCAGTGATTAATATTTTTTTGTACATTATAGAAATGATGGTGACTGTACATTTTCAGCATGTAAACCCTTTTTGGGAATTCAAAATGAGATTTTTTTTGTTGTTCTTTTGTTGGTTCTCCATCTTCCTCAGACATCAGTCAGAGCTGATAATTGGTAACGATGATGATCTGTGTACAAAAGGACTGGTCCTAGAGCAACATGCCAAGAAGAATCTCTTTGGGCCCAAATCCTGATAATAAGGGGAACTTTTCTTCAGGCTCTCTTGTTGGTGATGCCAATGCCACAGCAGTTCTGTGCATTCAACCAACAGCAATGAGAGCCACAAATGACTCCCGTCTTTCAGCATTTTCTCTCCACCTCTTTGACATTCTTCATCCAGGCGCTCGCTTTAGTCCTGGTTGAATAAAGCTTGAAATCTTGCAATAGCAAAATGCTAAGAATGATCCCGTTGATCCAGAAGTTTTCTGTTCAGTTAATTCAGGAGTGTGAGGGGGGAAAAGTTGACCAAGAGAAGATGAAACAGTTGGTAAACTTTTACCAACATGCTGGTATAAAAGCAGCACAAAGTCATCCAAATGAGTTCAGTAGAACTGAAGGAACGAGTCAAACAGCTGCTGTCACTGGAAATCCAAAAAAATGTGGAAATATATATAATTGCATCGGAATTCCTTAATGTTGGTGTTTTGTTCATTTACAGTATACCTCCTTTTATGTCAGTACAGTACGTGCCTTTTATGAAAGAAAATATACGACTTTCACAAGTCCAAGCAGCTTCGTCCTGTTGAGCATAAAGATTCACCCTGTGAAAGAAGCAATTTATAATTTAATTAATTATCAAATTCAATATATATTTATACATTAGTTCTATACTTTCAAATGCTTATGTGGAAAAACCAAAGGCTAATTTGTTGGGTGTTAGTAATTTATCACCAATTTGAAGCTAAATGTAAAAGCTAGTATGTCGCACTGATATTTATAACCATTTAACTTTTCAAACTTAGATGTGTTGGGATTTTGTGTGATAGATTAACACAAAGTAGCTAATGATTGTGAAGTAGAAGAAAAAGCATATGGTTTCAGAAATATTTGATTCTGTTGCTTGTGCATAGTTTATCAGAATTTAAACCTAATTCACATAGAAAATCCATATGAGTACTTTAGTTTATTGTTGTGCAAACTTGGTAGGAATATTAACACAAAAGAAATATAACTGTAGCAGAAGGCTACAAAATATTCAGAAGTGCTAAACTATGACAGAAGCCACATTTTCACAAGGTTTTATAAATAATTTTCCAAAACCACTTGTCATTTTTCTTTAACTTTACAATTCTGCAATATTCTTTGCCTGTCCATTACAAACATTTTCAGTAAAATACACTGGGATTGTTGTTGATATGTGAAAATGTTAAATCGGCTTAAACACTTTTTCAAATAAATAATTGGTAATGTTTGACTGAGTTTAACAAAAATTGGAGGTTAGTCTATCGTCACCATTTGATCTAATTCATCAAATAATTCAAAGTTACCTTTTCAGCTACTTGCCAAGATGAGGGCTGATCTTTTCTTTTCTGATGATGTTGGTGTAGGGAATCTAAACGACAAATAAAGAATCAATTAATAAAAGGCACTTACTTTAAACCTGGCACTATGTCTGTAAATTTATGCTTTATCTTATTCTAACATTAAAATAGTTTCACTGAAAAAAAAATTAATTGGCGAGTAATGACAAAACGTGAAAGGGTTTAGAATTTCAATCATACATTTCTGAAGTTAATTTAAATGTCTGTGTGAAATTAATGTGTCATTACTCTCAGACTTGATCCATATGCTGCTTCTCGAGACATTTGTCAGCTACTGTGCAGACGTGCACTTTAGTGCACACAAGCACTCGCAAATGAGCATAAAATCTGTTGTCTGTGTTTTCTGCTTTTATAGTCACACAGATGTAGTTTGCTCGTGTGTGTGCACATTTGAGGGCTATAGTGTGCAAGCACGGTTCGCCATCACAGGCATAGGAGCGAACACAGTTGAGTGGTGTGTCAGAAAACAAAGACAAACAGCATCTGTCAGCCGATCTGCCAGCTGCTCCTGTGATTGATGCCAACGGAAACAATCAGACGACTGCGGAGGAACTTCTCACCCATGAAAGACGAACTGCGTGATTGGTTTTGTCTTTTGCTGGACAAATAAACAAAAAAACTAGTGTTGATTTGAGTCCTGATTTATTATAATTTGATTTCTGATTCGGTTTCACCTTGATTTTAGATTTTCCTTCTGTGCTAGAGTGTATTCACACGTTCCTGGAAATGCGTCTTAATATTTTTAAAAGTATTCAATGTGTTTTGAACGCAATGATTACTAGTTATTCAAAGTCTATTCCTTATTAGTCTTCAATATCTAATGCATCAGCATGCAAAGTACTGAGTAGTTACGGATTCTCACCATCTGTAACTGTTGGACCATTTCTTCTCTGTAGGCGAGCTCTCGTTTCATCTGATCTTGAAAATTATCTGAAAAAGTTGGTGTAAAACATTTATCATTTTGCAGAAAATTACTTTATTGCAACAGATGAAATTTGTTGCTATAACAAATTTCATTTGTAGCAGTAAATTTGTAATTTGTTGCAATATCATCTGATATCAGATGATATATAAATATGGAATTTTAAAAGGTACAACAAAATGATAGCATAAATAAGAAGAACATAGAAGAGACATATATATAAGGGAGCTAAAATAGACAACTGATAAAAAAAATAGTCTTGGAGTGAAAACTAGATAAACATTTAGATTAATATCATAATAATTAAAAAAAAAAAGACTTACGGAAAACGGGAAATGGGGAAGTTCCTTTTAGGGCATGAAACTCCTGCTCCAGTCTCCTCCTGAAGTCGATCTGCTCCAGGAGAACTTTCTGAAGTTCTTCTACATAAAGACAAAAAAAGTGGGAAGGCATGACTTTTTCTTAAGATAACTGGGAGAAATGATAGGAATACCTACATAATCAGTTTGCTAAAATGTTGTCCAGCAGATTTATACATCAAAGAACATCTACCTTTCTCCATATTTTCGACATCTTTCTTCAGTGTGACAGGAGAGGTTGCGCCTCTGCTCTGATCCCCTGAAAATAAAAAAGATTGACTCAACAAACAGGTTACATAACTCCAAGTTTTCACTAATTAAAAAGTTGTGGTTTACTGGTTTATTGACATGTATAGGTGACATTGAGAAAATGGACCACAGTCCATATGCACAATCCATTTTTAGACTAGATCAATCACTGAAGAGAGAATGACAATGAGGTTCAAAGAAGAGAAACCAGTTGTGTCTGATATTGAATTTTACTGGAAGATGCAGCAACATAACGGCTTTTGAAGGACATGAAGAAAGGTCTATTTTTTTCACAATATAGGACAATATAATAATAATTGTGAAGACTCCAAAATGGTTCAATCTTACGTAAAGTCTTTTGTAATTTTGACCTTGCAATTTCTTCACCCGTTTTCTAAAGTGTTGTAATTCATCTTCTGGCCTCTGGGTGCCAGTGTAAGTTTAAAATAATAATATAAAAAATGACCAAGAAAAAAAACAAAACCAAAAAACATATGGACACGTGCAAAAGTGACAAAAGATGTATAAACACCCTTAAACTAAATTCTTATTTTAGGCAAAATATATTTTTAAAAAATCACATGTTGAGAAAATGCTTTTTTTTTTTTTTAACTAAATCACAAATGGCAAACTTCTTGTTACTCGTGCTGCCAAGATATGACATAATATTACACAAGGT